GTTTATGGGCTAATTCACGGATCTCGTTATCTAATTCAAAAGATTTTACATCTTCTAGTTCGGAGACATTTCTTGCTATAGGCACACTGAAACGAATTGGTTGGCCTCTCAAAATCGGTCGTCTTGAGCGGCGAAAATTATTTCTGCGGCGGATATTAGGAAACGGTCTATTATTTCGTGTTCTGTTTTGATTTCTTCTCTTTTGATTTCGATTTCGCCTCCTCCGATTTCGATTCCGCCTTAGACGATTCTGATTTCTTCTTTTACGGTTCCGATTTTGCTTTCTTTTATTACGACGTCTCTTACGTGCAGCATTATTCTGTCTACGTTTATTCTTCTGTTTACGGCGATTTTGCATTAGCTTTCTTCTATTTACACGGCGCCTTCTGTTACGCCTTCGCCTCAGTTCTTGTGAGCGTCGTTTTACATCGTTCTGTCTTTTATTTCTTCGAAGTATTTGTCTGACATTTTGTCTTTGATATTGCGCTAATCGATTAGTTGTTTTCTTAATTTGTTTCGTACTATTTTGTATTTCTTTTCTTAAAGTTTGTGGGTTCCGAGCTCTACTTGACAACTCTATGGCTTTTGAAAGATTTCGTGTTAAATTAGCCATAACTCGAACACTGTCTGAAGCGGATTTCAATAACCGCGTGAGTAAACTTGAAGAGCTATACGAGTAAACTTGCCTTGAATCAGACTTAATTTGCCTTTCTAACTCCTGTATCCCACGTGCTGTTTCATTAAAAATCTGCACAAATGATTCACGAGTAGCATCAATTAAGTCGTTTTGGGCAGTTATAAATTTTTCAGCTTCTTCTGGATTATTATTAAAAACACGCACATTTCCAGAAGAAATAACTGCCAAATCATTTAAGAAAGCAGCAATTGCATTTTTTGTATTTTCTACCAACCTTAACTCTTCTAAAGTTAGTGTTTCATCGAACTGAGAAACCCCAGATCCCAATTGTGAAGTAAATGTGGAAGCCGAAGATAGAACGTTTGATATAGAAGAAGTTGTATCTCTAACCATTACGCCAGCACTTGAAGACATATTCATTAGAAGTCTCATCGTTTGATCGGCTACACCTGTGAAAGCGTTAACAGTATTTTGAACAAGATTTCCTATCCCTGTGGAAACTCCTGGCACCGACGGGATATTAACTTGTATTGTTTGAGCTGGTATTGATCTTACCCTTCGTTTTCGAACAGTTGGTTCAATTTGATCATTTTCATCTTCTTTTGAAAAAAGGTAATTATTATCATCATCATCAAATGTAGCATCATTTTCTAATAAATTATTGTCGATATAGTCGAAATATATATCATTATCATCATTATCATGGTCGTAATCATCGTAAAATGGTAAAATTGTTTGATAAATTACAATTTCTTCGTTTGGGGTTGTTGTTTTTTGTTCATTATTTGAAGAGGACAAAGGTGCTTCTCGCATAAATGCCGCTAACGATGGTATCTGTAGACTGGGAAGTAAAGATGTAATAAATCTTTGCGCCCCATGAACGTTTTTTGAATGCTCTTGTAATAGCTTTTCAGCGGAATTCTTTTGGTTTATACCTTCAGAGACTTCATATTTTGAATGATTAGTCACTCGACTGGAAATTTCTTGCTGACACAAAAATAAGGTCGAAAACAGCAAAAGTGATTTGAATTTCATTTTATAATCAAGAAAACTTTTATTTTAAATTTCATTCCAAAACCTAAATTTCGTTGACAAACTTATTGAACAACTTGAAAAAAATTTCTGAAATTTCTTTGTTATTTCATTAGCTTTTTATACTTGACTAATTGTTAAGTTTGACATGGTGTGTTAATGCACTTTTATTAAAACAAAAAGTTCATTAACCGAATATTTTGTTGTTTTAATTTTAATTCTTTCAATTATGTTTTGTGTTTTTAAAAGAACATTTTTAGCATCTGGGTAAACTATTTGTCTAATAAAATTAATCGATAGTTTGCGTAATAAATAAGAATTCATTAGTAGAATAAAGCAGTAAAATAGAGCCAAAATTTTACTACACAAATATATTTTATATACGTTACAACTGGCTGAAACTTAAATAAAAGTAGACGCATTGATATAACATTTAATTTTAAGATACTTCAACTATTGTAGTAATTACCAACATAATTTTTTCAATCCAGGTTTTTATAATAAATTAATTACTTAGAAAAAAATGAGGGTGAATAAGGACTTAATTAATTACTCATAATTTTAAAATATATTAACATGAATTAATAATTTTATAAAACTGCTTTATGTGATATGTAAACGTGCGAATAAAAAAAATGATTTTTGAACTAAACACATAGACACTTAAAAATAATTTTTTTTAACATTATTGCCAAGAAATGAGTTCATAATTATATATTCTTATTAATTAAATTGTAAAAAACCTTCAACCAATAATTTTCTTTCGAGTAGTAAAAAAAATCATATCTCATGCAAATTCAACTAACATCTAAAACCAATTTTTTTCTATTTTTCAATGTACATTTAAACATTTTATTTAACGATATCGACAAATAGCTACATTGGGTGCCGCACACATAAATACATACATAAGTACATATATAAGTGAATATAATTTTTTACGTGACAAGTCCAACAATTCTCTAGCAAATTTAATTTCTTTCCTGCATATATGTATATGTGTATATTTCAAAAAATCTTTGTTCAAAAATGTTAAGAAAACACAAACAATTTTTTGGTTTATATACTTCACTGCTATAATTTTCTATAACTTTCAAGTTCTATTTTTGATTTTAGTTTCTTTTTTTTGATTTTAAGTAATTATTCAAGATTTACATGAAATTATACTGTCGGTGAAATGTTGTATACTTTTCACAACATTTAAATTCACTTAATGGAAGAAACATTCAAATTTAAATCAAATATTTAATGTTGTTGTTCTTAGCAATTTAAATTTCAATAAATTCATTTTATAATTTGGTTAAATGGCCTAGGTCCATTCAAAAATTCAAAGTTCTTTTATTTTACGATTAACTATTAAGTCACTAGTTGGAATTCAAAATTATTTATTTGGGCAGGAAAATAGTTATATTTTAATTGTAATAAAAGTGTGCTTAAGTCACCTTCAGTTTAAACGATCCAATGCAAATCATTGAATAATAAATTGATTAAAATTATCAAATTATGAATACAATATTTTCTTTTATAGTTATAAAAATTCCTTTGAATCCCTTAATATTCCTAATACTATCTCTTCTTTAAATTTTGGATATTGAGTATTTCTTTTGATTTGAATTAACTTGATTTTTAATAACAGATTCATATTATAATATATATTTTTTTATTTTATGACATTCTTATCAAAAAAATGTTATCAACATCATAACCTTATTTTACTCTCCCATGAACAATAAAAGATTGACAATTTAAATAAAGCTGAGTCAAACTAATTGTTTGTAAAGCAGTACTTTTCGCTTCAGCGAATGAAAATATTGAGATGCATTTAGGATGAGCAGCATATACAATCTTTAAAATAAAATAGAAAAAAATTAAACAGGCTTTATCATAATACTCGAATTTTAAAGGTTAATTTCATGAATTAAGAAAAATAATCATATTTTGTTATGGCATAGCATCTACCATTAGTTTCCTGCATTTATAGAAATTTAGAAAAGCTAACAGCTTCGAAATATGTGGTGTCCAAAATTAAAATTTTCAATTTTCATTAGCGAAATTCGATAGGGCGTGCTGGTGAAAAAAAAAATTTCTAACGAAAGGAACGACTTAGTAGTGTCCAAAAGCTGCTAAAATTTCAGACTTTTACAACCTACGGTTTAGAATAAAAACAATGTCAAACATTTAAAAAAAAAACGGATTTAAGATAACGATGGCTTTAGCGATCTTTTTGTTTTTTTAAAGTTTAAATATGGCATGCTGCGGTAGAAGAACCAGCCATTACTCTTTTGCGTTTGCAAAATTTAAACTGAATTTGTTATAATACGTACTTAAAAAATGGCATTTTTGGGAATTTGAGCGGCTATAATTTTTAGAGGTGTAAAAATTTTCTACTATGGAAACAAGTTTTTAGTAAAGTTCTTTTCACATATAAAAGTTTTGTAAATATGTTCACGGACAGACGAACAGAGTGAAACTAATAAGCACTTTTTTGCAAATATTTTGTGGAAAAGTGATAAAAAACCAAAGCATAGCTTGTTCTGAACAAAATATATAAAAATTTTTATAGATTATTTAGCTACTAAGTAGTTTCAAAAAATATAAGAATCGATATTATTAATAAATTATAATTTGATTAATTTTAATTTACAAATAATATATGTATGACATAAAAAAATGAAATTCCAATAATTAAAATAACAGGAGGCTTGAATTATACATCTTTTCAAAAAATTTTAATTTCCATAGCTCTTTATGAATTATTGGATACTTTAAAAGTGTGTACTATAAAAAGAATAAACTTATATTAAAGAAAAATATATTTCAAATTGGATTCATACCATGGATTCAAAGTACAAGTTGCTACCCACAATTAAGAAAAACAGTTTAAAAATGTATCCAGCATTAGAATATTACAATAAATATTTCATTTAAGTAATGTAACAATTACTCTAATTATTTTCATTTACAAGATTTAAATATGATATTTCATTTTTCTATAACAAAAAATAGATTAATTTTGAATTTTAATTTAACACACGAAATATTAATTACTTCCATGAGGTTTTATAAATTCTTTTCACTTAGTAAATTAAGGAGCATTAAAATAAAATAATTTTAATGTTAAAGTTTTTTTTTTTTGCTGTTTCTAAATACAAATACTTTCATAACTACACACTAACATTTTTAACTTTATTTATTCACAAATTAACATTTTACTTTATTATTTACAAAGAACCATAATGACTTAAAACATTATTTTTAACTAAAAGAATTAAAACGGTTAACGCTAGAATATCTTATATCTTATCTAATATGTTATATTATATGTACTTACATAATATGTAAATACATCCAATCATACAATGTAAAACACAATTATGCATATTTTAATTTATATATATATGTATAATGCGATATGTTTTTTTTTATTCTTCCTTCCGATTTTTTAAATGCGCTTTTCCCTTTCCACTCTTATTTGTATAGTGTTACTTTACTAAAACACAACTTTCCATAAACATTACAGAATATATTACAATTTGCAACACTAGTATGCATATTAATATGCATGTATACGTTATGGAGGATATCGTTTTTATAATTTTTACTATATCTATTTACTGTATGTATATGTATACCTATATTTACTAGAATACATCTAAAGATAATTTTAAAGTTTTTGTTTAGAAAGCGTAACTCCCGCTAGAATCGTTTTTAGTGTTCAATGTACCGATAGTAACTAAAACAAAAATTTTTGGCAACTAGCACTTGAACATTGCGAAATTTTTAGAAATTAAAAATAAGTGAATTGAGGCAGTAAACAGAACAATCAAACTAGAAAGCAAATAACAAAAAAAATAAAATAAAAAAAATGGCATGGACGAAATGAAAATTGTGCAGAATATATTTGCAAAGTGCTTTTAAATAACAAATTTTTATTTCACTCGTACATCATAAAAAGAATATTAGGTATTGTTTTTTTTCAGCTATGTATTCTTACAGCTGGATTTCAGCTGGAAAACTAATTCGCTCTTCAAAGCTTTCAATATGAATGATGAATGAATAGAGCTTTTAAATTTTCTTCACAGATTTTACAAAACTTATTTTTAATTAAATTTGTACATATGGTATTGATATTTGAAACATATAATTTTTCAAAAACGTTATAACATAAAAAGCTCTTAAAAAATACTGTTACAGTATTTGATTACAAAAACTACAAGTACATACTTTAGAACTAGTTTTGAATATGGACCTACATACAAATGATTCAATTCAGATTCAATTTATAGTTTTAGGAAAAAAAAAATTCAAAAACGTAAACCAATTTTAAATTTTTGGAATATGTTTGCATATTTCATTTAAAACTATTATAGTATATTATAGTATTTTTAGATTAAATTAACCCTTTTGCGAACTAAATTAACCTTTTTGCGAGTGGAATTAACCCTTTTGCTGTGGGAATTCACTTCTCCATAGTAGGGAAATGTAAGTAAACTATTTTTAGCAACCTGTCGGTCTGTCGGTCTGTTGGTCTGTCGGTCTGTGTGTGCATGCATGTATCTCAAGTTTGGCTGAACCGATTTTGATGAAATTTTATATGTAAGTTTATTTCTTCCATGGCACGGTTTGATCAACTTTTGGGATATATCAGAGCTCGAAAACTGATCTGCGGACCGATTTTACATTTTTCGAAATATCTACGGAACGAATTGACGCAATTTCTTGAAATTTGATATTTGAGTTCTGGTTGTTACCGAAACAAACTGGCGAGCATTTCAAGGAATTCGGACGTCACAAAACGAAACTCCACTAAGAGCCAAATTTACATTTCTCTAGGTATGTTAACTATAAACTTACTAATGTCCTAAAAATTGGAAAGAAGTATTTAACAGACATTTTTATAATATTCTGTAACACTTTCACTTAACTAGACAATACACATTGCGGTCAGTTATGTGCTGACCACATCAGATTTTTTTTTTTAAATTAAACCTTTTTCAAATAAAATTAAACCTGAAAAAAGATATGCAAATCATGAAAGTGAAAATCAATAAAATTTAAACGACTTTGAAAGAATCATGTTTTTCATATTTGTGCATATAATATTATACGAGTATGTGTATGTATGTATATGGAGACATATGTATGTATGTAACTAAATTACATTAATTTAAATTTTACATTTATTCTTGCATAAAATAAAAAATAATTAATATCTATAATTTTATATGTAATTAAAATGCATTAATGTAAAGTTTACATTTAAAAGATTTTAATATATGAACGAAACCTCTTAACTTTTGGAAGAAAAAAGGTGTCAGCAACTGGAGAAATAGAAACTGGAGAATATATAAAGAGAAATATTCAACCGATTTCATTGAAATTTAATATTTAAATTCTTCGTACTGTGCTCAAAAACTGATCTGCAGGCCGATTTTCCAATTTTCACCATATCTGCGGAACGAATTGATGGAATTCCTTGAAATTTGATATTTGAGCGAGCTTTTCAGGGAATTCGGGTAGCACTCTACTAAGAGCCAAATTTACATTTCTCTAGGTATGTTAAATTTAAGTTTCCTAATGTCCTAAAAATTGGAAAAGGATGTTTATAAGAAATTTTTGTAATCTTTTGTAAAACTTTTACTTAACTAGACGTTATACATTGAACTCGGTTATGTTTTGACCACCTCAGATTTTTTTTTTAACAAAACAAAGCAAAAAGTAGTAATTTTAATTCCAAGCTTTAATACTATGACTATTGCATATGATAATGTTACAAGAATATGAATTTTTATGCATAATGTGCAATGCTTATTGCATTGAGAAGAAGCATCAAACGAATTAGAACCACACCTGCGTATAGACAAATTCGTTGCATCTACCCGAGCACATTAAAAAAAAGAAAGGTTTTCATCCTGAATTGATTGTGGTAAAAAAAGGAACTATTTACGTAACATATTTTTATTTAATTCAATGTTTATTATTTTAAATATTATTATTAGTACAGTTTACCGATTTAACTCGTATTGGGTCCTTGTTATTAAGGATATATTATGTTCTTATAACTATTTTTAATTTTATTTATGTAAAAACATAAATGCAATAATAAAGAAATATACTTATAAATACATAAAAATACATATTAGCTAATTTGGTAAATACATATTTTAACTACATATGGTAATAATAAAATGTAATAACAATTAGGCAATAAACTTGAAAGACTGGCAAAGGACGAAATGCAGTTGCAACTTCTTTGTAATAATTTTTAAATTTGTAAAAGTAGGGATGAATTGTTTATTTTAAGTTTATTTTAAGACTAGGATATTTCTTTATAAAATTATTCATAAACAAGCTAATTATATTAAGACAACAAAAATAAAATAATTGTGATTTACTTTAATTTGTAGGAAGATAAAAGTTCAAAGACTGTGTAAGTTGGTTAAAGAAATTTAATTAACGATACCTTAGTTTCTCTGTGTTCTCATCTCTTTTGACAAGGACAATAAATTCAGCGGCATAATAGTAATTAACGGATTACTGCAAAGCCAAATACTGCGTAGTATAATTAAGCTATGACTCCTTAGCGCCAAGAGCTAACGAGGATTCTAGGTTTTGGTGACCCGACATAATCCAATTTGGTGATCAAATACATTTACATAAGCGACTAGTGTTGCAAGCCAGATTTTAGATATCGACACGGGCGTTTACGCTGACACATTTACAAAAGTGATTGGTGTTGCAATCCAGAATTGAACATATATACGCTGACACATTTACAAAAGCGTTTGGTAATGCAATGCAGACTTTACATTTCTACACGAGCATTTACGCTAACACATTTACTGAAACGACTGTTGTTGCAAGCTAGATTTCATATTACATTGTGAGAACATAATGGTTTATCGTTACGAAAGTTAATGTGGACGTATTAGCTAAGAACCAAATTTGACAATCAAAACAATGCAAAGCGTTAAAAGAAATATTTAAAGAGGAGCCTGCCGAACAAAGAAAAATCAGAACTATTGAAGAAAAGCTGGTGAAATTAGAAGAAATACGGCAAGAGTCTGAAGAAGTTGACAACATCATAAAAGAGCTTTATGGCGGTGAAGGACATTATATATATTTGGCGGAAGATTTATACACACAATTGTTAAACTTAAGTGTAAAACGCCAAGAAAAATCGCAGAAGGAAAAAATTGAAGTCGAAAAAGTTAAGGAAATCAAACGAGATATAATACAGAGAAAGCAGATGGCGCGAGTGCGCTTTTTTCACTCCTACCCTAAAAACTCACCTAAACTCTGAACGGATAAAACTGGCCTTACAGACCAACTCTGCGCTAACTTAATTTTTCCGTACAGCAATTAAATACCTTCCATAAGGAAATTGGTATTTTGTGTTAAACCAAAAGGTCTTGTTCGTTTAAGTTTTTCTGACAACGCCATTGTCTAGAAACCGAGCTGCTTCCATATTTACATGCTGTTCTAGACTAGCTCTATGCTTTGTAGCACAACTCCTAATTTCATCCACAACCAAATCAACTCCTAAGTCCCTGCGTATGTCACTGTTATGTTTATATCATGGCACATTTATCTTGCCCCGTAGAACTTTATTCTGGAAGATTTGAATTTTGTTAATGTGAGTCTTCTTGGCACAACCCCACAGTTGAATGCCATATTGCCACATTGGTTTATTATCAATTGCCAAATTGGACTTACAACCTAGAAGCCAATAATTTTCTCTTTATTTATTTTCTAATTCTATGTGTTTCTTCTTTATATGCTCTTTCCACCTTAGCTTGACATCTAAAGCCATTCCTAAGTATTTTGCTGATTTATGGATTGCTACATTCGTTCCAATAGTTAATTTGTGTTGGATTCAGTATTTTTCGATTTTTCTATTTTGTTAATTGACTCCTGTAATTTTTTGTCGAATCGTCAATTTTCGATCCTGCTGCCAATATTATGGTAACGTCAGCAGTGTGGTAGATCACTCGTGTAAAGCAAGTACAACGTTGAGCCCAATATACTGCCTTGAGGCAAACGTGCTCTTATTTCTCTTAGCCGGAAGTGTTCAGCGTCTTGTTTGATTCTAAATAGTCTTTCATTTAAGTAAAACTTAAAAAAAATTGCTACAAATGATGATGGTATTATTTGTCCTAACTTAAATATAAGGCCTTTGTGCCACACCTTGTCGAATGCCTGTTCTACGTCTAGAAATATAGAGGAGCAGATTTCTTTATTTTCTTAGCTTTTTTCTATAATATTCGTTATTCTATGGACCTGTTCTATTGTAGAATGGTTTGTTGTAAATCCAAACTGATATGGTTTGGTATGAGGCCCCTATTTTAGCAGCAACTTATTAAAGAGCTTAGACATTAAACGGTGAAATGGGCCTATAAGACTTTGTTTCTCTCGATGATTTCCTGGGTTTGGGCACCAAAATTACCTCTGCCACTTTCCAAGCACAACGAACTTACTCAAAATCTGTAGCTGCATTCATAATTTCCATCAAATGTTACCATTCTTTGGGGAGGATTAGAAAATGTAATCATAACATATAACGCCGAACACACAATTCTATTATTGGCTGAAACTTACATTTCAAAATAATAATGAATCATTTATATATCAAGCACTGCATGTGACAATTCTCGTCAACAAGGGGAAGAAAATTACCACGTACAGTGCCTAGGAGTTGTACGATATACAATAAACACCAACCAAAACTGTTTTAACAATTGATGGGTCTAGCATGTTACCCATCCCAATATCGGGTCTTACATACTCGTCCATTTATAAGTGCCGGAGTACATTTCTATGGTCCAATATAGACTCATTACATTTGCGTGAAAAAAGACCAACCAAGAGTTCCATTGTAGTATTCTGTTGTTTCACCAAGTTTTTGACTTGACAACAGATGTATTCATAGATGTACTTAAAAGATTCATTGTACGTAGCTTCATTTTTCTAGAAATCTGTACTGTGGCATTTCGACATATTTTGTTGGTAAAAAAAATAAATTGGAAGAACACCTCATAACAATATTATCTTAAAGAATTGAATAGGAGAAAATTGCGAATTTATGTGGTGTAAATGGAATACAGTTTCATTTCATACCTTTAGTGGACTATAGGAGGCAACGGAAAATCTGCAAGAAACGCTACTAATATCCGTATTAGATTTGGCATCACTCACTTTTGAAGAATTAAGCACAGTCACAGAAGAAGCAGAAACAATTTTAAATTCCAGATGATTATAAAGCTATCACTCCGACTTATTTTCGGGTAAAAGAACCCTTATAAACAATTCTTAACTAAGATTAAACCGTACAAAAGATGTCTTCGTTGTCGTGTTTGAAACTCTTGTCAGCAGTAAGGCACTAGATGTAGATAAAATAGAAACAAGAATAACTTTGTAGCCTTCTTCGTTGGAAGAAGGCTACAAACAATATTCAGCCATCTTTTAACAGCTCAATTGGACGCGCTAAAACTATAATCCGCGGAACAGATGGTCTGGTAATAGTGGCATTGGTTAGAACTGCACATCGAACTTTTCAGCGAACAATACAGCAATTAGCACCAGTACCTATTATATACGACATGTTGAATCAAAATGAAAGTAATATAAAAAATACAGGAAAAGAACCGAAGATAAAAATTTAGCCAATAGAAAATTGCAAGAGCCGAAAGAGAGAGAAAAAAGTAAAAAGAGAACTCTGCCCAATACTATATTGCTCATGAAATTGCCGATTTTGCTATTGAGGGTATATTAAAAACTCTTGACAGTAAGCAAAAACAATCGTTCAATCCCATTAAAATCAAACATCAATTGTTGAAGCTGTAGTTAATTTAATGAAGAAAACAAATATGGAAAGAGTTGAACAAATAAATGTTTTTTAAAAATGAAATAGAAAAAATAAAAAGAACATTGAAATATTTGTTGCCTAAAGAACAAGATGAAAACCGATAAAAGATGTTTTTAATGTTAGCCCAATATGTTTCATTATTAACGATTTTAGACATTATCCCCAACATTCATCACGAGAAATTTAACACTCTGTTATTAAAACTGAATGCTATCAAAAGCGAATTTAAATTACTAGCCCAATAAACAACAGGAAATGAATGCAAGATAAAATTGTCAAGAAGTAATAAACATTAGATTCAACCAACAAGAAAGAATTCATGGCTTTATTCGTTAAATAAGGAGTACTTTTGTAATATTGTGTGTGATGGTCACTTATCAACAAACGCTTAAAGAAAATGAATTATTGGACTTTCATGAAAACTGTCTACTAAAAGATAACGAAGTAGTACAAAATTTTCAAATAACAAGCGGTGAATACAAGAAAGCGGCATAATTTCAATACACATGATTAAGAGATACATGTCTATCAGATATCATAAATCAGCCACCAGTTAATTAGTCAGTTAATTTCACATTTGAATCGCAAAAAGAAGAAAATATATATTTTACGGAAAGATTAAATATTAGTATATTTTACAAGCATCAGCTGTTTTCTTAATATTTGATTGTAGTCATAGAGTACGCCAGGGAAAATTCAATTTTGCTAACTGGAGTCGCCACCAAGCTTTTACCAAATGTTTCAATTAATGTAATCGCTGAATTAATTTTTAACCAAACAAATTTCTAACAAATTAAGTAATATAACTATACATATAATAAAAATTTACAAATAAAAACGGTTTCATTTTTAGCACTTTTCCAAAAAAATTTTGAAAAAGAGTGCTTATCAGTTTCACTCTGTCCGTCCGTCCGTCTGTCCGTTTGTCTGTTTACAAAACTTCTACATACTTGAAGGTAGAAAGCTGAAATATTGTACTTACATAGATCTTTACCAAAAACTTATTTCCGTAGAACAAAATTTTTACCTATCTCCCCCGCTCTAGTAGTTATACCCCCCCAAAATCCTAAAAATGGACCTTTTTAACTATTTGTTGCAATGAAACCATAAGAATTTTTGAAATTTTGCAAACGCAGAAAGGCAGTGACTTGCTTCACCTAACGCGGTATACTATAGTTAAACTTTAGAAAAAAAAATGGCCATTCAAATTTACCGTTATCTAAAGTCTTTTTTTCCAAATTTTTTATTTTGTTTTTTTTCTAGACCCCAGCCTGTAGAAGCTTGAAATTTTAGTGGCTTTTAGACATTAACAAATAGTTCATTTCGCTAGAAGAAAATTTTTTTTCATCTCTACACCCTCTCAAATTATCGCCTCTTGAAATTTGTAAAATTTGAATTTTTGACACCTTATATTGCCGAAACCGCAAGCTTTTTTAGATTTCTATAAACACAAAAAGCTAACGGTAAATTTCATGACATTAAAAAATATAATTATTTTTCTTAGCTCACACAATTAACCCTTAAAATCGAGCATTATGTTAACCCCTCTTTATATTAATTTTTGCTTTATTTCAAAGACTGCATGTATGAAATAGTTTTGTATATGAATGAAAATAATTTTAATAGTGTGAGAGGTATACATAGACTGCATTGAACAACAGAATTTTCACTTGTTGAAGGGAAAAGTGCTACAATACAAACCATTAGTTTGACTCAACTTTATATTAATCTCATATACTAATATTACTTTATATTAATCGTATATAAATGCATCTATAACAATTGATACCTATGAGGAAAATTTGACTAAAAATGTTTTCCCTATAAATTTCATTTTCAAAAATTTTTCTTTTTAACTAATTCATTTTATTATACCAAACATTATCACTTAAAATAATAACATATATACTCGTATCTTGGAGGCCTGTCCAAGATGATAATATTTTTTCGAAATTTTGAATCAGAAAAAAATACAAAAACAATATTTTTTTATTTTTTTTGTGAAGTTTTTGAGTATTCCTTGCGAATCTCATTTTATTTAGTGTAGTTTTAAAAACCATCTAGATTATATTTATTATTTTTTTGCTTTTTTCTTCAATTTATTTTTAAATTCTATTTTTTTTCAAAATTTTGCTCTGTAATTCAGTACACTTCCATTTGGAAGGCAAGAGAGGTTGTCTGTTCTAAAAATTGCAATTTTTGATTTTCTTAATGCCTTTTTCAGATGGAGTATACCAACAGTTTTTGTTTTAAGTTTAAATTTTAAATTTCAAAAGATATGTAGAATCAGTAGAGACAAAAATATTGATTAATTTCCTTCACAAAAATAAATTCTGACACACCTTCCATTTAAACTCCATATAAATTTAGAATTTATTTTTGATTTTCTCTCTGAGCTTGATGGCCTGTAGATATATATAGCATTACTCAAAGTAAAGACTTTGGAAAATTCCTCATTTGAAGGACTAACGAAGTATCTTAGTAACCCTTGTCTTATAGGTACTTAAATATTTCTTGGGAATATTTCCTTATTCAAAAAGCTCACTATACGAGTGTATTTCATTTAATTAATCTTACAACAAAAAAAAACAATTCATTTTCAAATTAAAATCAAAATGATTAACCAACAATGGTAACGAAAAAAAATTATAAATTTATTTGGCACAATTTCATAACATATTTTTGTAAAGGAGAAAACTATTTTCAAGATAATAATACACTCTTGTAATACATATGTTTTTCTAATATTCTAAGTCATTGTTATTATCAGAATGATTATTATTATTATCAGTGGATGTTTTCGTGTCTTTTGGGTTCTTATTCGTTTTATTTAATTTTTTATCAATTTTATTTTCCATTTCTTGTTTCGTCTTGTCTGATGATTGCTTTTCAACTTGTGTTTCATCTAAGCCTTGATCAAAGGGACGTGAAGTTCTACGTCTAGTTGCTCGATTCCTAGTTTTATTTTGTTTACGAAGCTGTTGACGTAATCGCAAAAGACGTTTGCGATTTTGTCTTCGAGTCTGTAGAAGTGACTTCCTTTGTTTTAACCTTTGAAGTCTAAGATGTTTCCTTCGCTTCTGAGCTGCCCGCCTTCTTGCTTCTCTACTACGATACCTTTCCCTACGTAAACGGAGTTTCTGCTTTCGTCGTCTCATGCTGTCCCGTCTCCTTCGTCTTCTAAGCCGTCTTCTACGTTCGGCGCGGCGTAATTTTGATCTTTTCTTTTTTCTACGTCGGTTTTGCATTTTAACCTTTTGGTTTCGCCTCTTTTCCAACCTTCTTAATCTTAAACGTAAACGCAACCTTCTACGACGCGCTCTTCTTCGCATCCTGCGCCTTCTGGAGAATTCCGTAACCACTGGTTTTTCCGAAGAACCTAGAGTTTCTTCTTTCAATTCCATCATATTACCTTCCCCATAATACGGTTCTAAGTCATCGGAGTCCTTATAACCTGTCATAGGTTGATCTTCTGAATTTTCAACTTCATTATCATGTGGATTTAATAAAAACATAACATCTCTATTCAAAACTAAAGGACGCTGTCTCCTAGGGTTTTTAATACGTCGTTGAGGTCTCACTTGACGTACACGATTATTTTGTATCATTTGTAGCCTACGACGACGAAGACGTAGTCGGCGTCTCAACCTTTGTTGCTTGCGCATTCTAGACTGCATTTTTTTTATGTCCCTTAAGTGTCTGTCTCGCATCCTGCGTCTAGTTTTCTGCCTTTTCAACGAATTTTGCTTACGAGATCTATTTCGACGACTGTTCATTCTATGTCTCATTTTCTTAAGTCTATTTCGCAATTTCCGTCTTCTTCTTACAAATTTCATTCTTTGGGCTTTATTCCATCTCTTTCTGCGTCTTTCCATAGCACGACGTCTTTTCTGACGGCGTCTTGCATTAGAACGTCTTCTCTCTTGGCGACGCCTTCTTCGTAGCCTCATTTGCTGCCGTCGTCGTCTTCTTCTAAAGCGCTTTAATATCCTTTTAGTCTTTCTACGACGCCTTCTACGTAAACGAGCTCTAGTGCTATACATTTCAATAGCTCGCTTTACGATTGTCGTCTTAATAGCTTCAGTATCACCAGTTGTGCTTGGAAGTTTAACAGTACCATGTGCGATATTCAATGCCTCAATATCGTCTGAAGTTGCTCTCAAAATTTGAACTATAATTGCCTGATTTGACTTAAATGAATCGCCATTTTCTTTTAGCTCCTTTTCAAGTGCCCGAATATCGCTTTCAGTTTCATCGAAAATATCAATATAAGACTTAAGAGTTGCATTTACCAGCTCTTTTTGAGCTTCAATCAATTTTTTTGCTTTACTTGGGTCAGATTTAGAGGCTTTTGCGTTCTCTGAAGTAATTTTAGCTAAATCTCTTAAAAAATTAGATAAAGAATCTGTGATCTTTTTCATTAAATTCATTTCTGCCTCCTCAAGTCTCTTGTTACCATTTGGTAAATCCTTAAATGAAACTGTAGCATTAAAAACTTTTATGATTGATTTTTTTACTTCTTGTATCAAACTTGGTGCATGTGAACTAATGTTTGATAACGACTCTAAGTTTAAATCTACTAGTTTTGGAATTTCATCATTTTGATTTACATCCGAAGAGCTAACTAGATTATCATCATTATTGGAACCTCTTTTGACATCATCAGGCTCGTCATTATTTTCTTTTTCATCATAAAGCTCGTCTTCTTCGTCATATACATTATTATCAACATTGTCTATATAACTTTTACCTAGTATGCGCTTAATGTCACCATCATCATTTTGAAAATTATTTTGAATATTTACTTTTTTACTACTGTCAGTATAACGAGCAAATGAATTCTGATGACATAATAATGTCACCAGTATAAAGAGAAACCAAATTCTCATACTCCCTATCAGTAAGTTTTAAATTGTTTTTAAAACTTAAAAAAGATACTACTTTGAAGATTAAAACATCTTCTGATAGCTTCATAATTTTTGATTAAGGTTTTTATACCCAAAATGACTTAAATGCATTAAAAAAGTATCAATAAACTTTAATTAGAAATGTACAATAAAAAACAATTGTTCAAATATTTTTAACCTATTTTATTCTTTTTCTTAAGTGTTGTAATTTAGATTAAAACAAAATTAAAATTGAATAAAAAATGTGGAATGTAAAATAAATTCTCAAAATTGCATATATGTATGTAGGTTCTGGGTGAGAAAATTTGATTTGTGTAAAATGTCGTCAAGAGTAGCGAGAATAAATTCGCATCAAACCAATGGTTTATAAAGTAGCACCTTTCCCATAAACAAGTAAAAATACTTTTTCAACAAAATGTTTGTATAAAAAATGTGTAGATACACACTAATTAAATTACTTTCACTATACTAAAACATATCAAAGTACATTTAGGATGAGAAAAAAAATGTAGGAGATCTAATTAGAATTCGATGGTTAAGAAAGTGAGCTAAAATTAATAATGGAATTTTTTGATAGCATTTTATTTCTCGATAGCTTTTCACTTTAATAGAATGATTGAAAGGCTTCTAATTTAGAAAGTATGATACGCCGAAAATGCAAATTTTACAAATTCCGTGAAGCAATAATTATGGAAGATGGGATATAGAATTATCTCTAAGGAGATAAATTTTTATTAGTCTTCGAAAGTCGCCCAAATTTTATATTGCTTTTAAATTTTTAATTGCTTTCCTGGGTTTGCAGAATTTAAAAATGTTTGTGGCTTCGCATTTTTGGGAATTGAAAAGTCCATTGTTCTTAGAGGAAAGTAGGTAGGTAACAATTTTCTTCTAGAGAAATAAATTTCTAGCAAACACCTATTTGTGTATAAAATTACGGTTTACTATCCTTAAGAGTCTAAGAAACACGCGAATACAGTGAAGCTTACAATCACTTTTTTCAAGCTTTTTTAATTATATTGATATCTCTCAATGTCAATAAAGAAAACTAAGTGAGATGAATTTCCAACATTTATTAAAATTAAAGCTATAATTTTTAAACATATGTAAGTATTATTCAATTTTTTCAATTTTTTTAAATTTTTTCAACACTAAATAATTTTCCTTTTAATTTTTTCATTTCTATTGCCACAAAATAATATTGGCATTTGTTTTTTCATTGACAGTTGTTAAAGTTTTTATTTTTGTGCAAAAATATTTAAATTTTAATACCACTCTTCTAAATTATTCTCAAATAACAAAGACATTCAGTCAACTACTTTTATTTTTTTCTTTGCACATACATACATACTTATTTGGTTAAAATAGAAACAAATTGATTTTACTCTGTGAAATATTATGTTTTTTGGAGTAACGTGATATAAAATAAAAGTTATAAAAAGCAAAACAAAATACATATAACGTACATGTGTATGTTTTTATGTTATCTATTTAAAAAATTTTATTAAATTGCATAAAATAAAAGAAATCAACAAAATTTATTCTTTAAACATTGTAATATTCTCAATTCTCACTCTAAAACGGTTGTACATATTATAAATAGGGTAGTTTAAAAATTTAGTGAATTATCTTTTATGTTTATTAGTCTTACTTTTCACTCCTTCCAAAACTCAAAGCGTTATTGTGCTTAGGTATAGCGACTTTCAAAACTAGACCATTTAATACAGAAGCGTTCGTTAAAGGGACAATTACTTCATCAGGTGTGGTTTTATGAGTAGTTGACCTAGAATTTCCATTCAATGAGATAGAAGATTTGATATCATCTAAATTTTTTGGTTGCTGATTCTTAAAATATTTTGGCAGTCTCTTTGAATTTTGATCTGTTTCGATTAAATGTTCATGACGATCGTAAGAAAAAGGGCTCTTATGAACTCTTATTCTGTCATTTACGTAAGATTCTTTTCTAAATTGCTGATTTCTCTTTTTTCTTAAATTTCTTCGGTGACTTCGTATCAAATGCTTTCTGGAGTTCAAAATTTGCTGAGCACCTTTTCTTAAATGAATTTCCATTGCCTTAGGATTGATTCGTGTTGACATTTCAACTGCTTTTGATAAATTTCTTGTTAATGTTGCCAAAATGCTTATGTTATCTGAAGCTGATTTTAACGTTCTCGCCAAAAAGTTCGTATCTGAAGGCATAGAAGTTGTTCTCATATTTAATGCCTGGATCGATCTTTCATTATATGGATTTTTTAAAACTTCATCAATATCGCGAGCTACTTCATCAAATATAGCCTTATAAGCTTTACGGACATTCTCGATTAACTCATTTTCAGCTTCAATAATTTCGCGAGCTTTAATTGGGTACGAATTCAATAGTCTACCCGTTGTGTTTGTTATTTTAGCTATATCCTTCAAAAAAATTGCTAAGGAGTTTCTAGTTACTTCGATCAATTTAGCTTTTTCTGCTAAAATTTTATAATTAGTGTCTCCGGTTGTTTCCTTTGTTTCCGACAGTAATCTATCAGTGGATCTTAAGACTTTGGTCACAGAATCTGTAGCATCAGAAACTAATTTCTCTGTGTTAGATGTCATGTTACCAAGTAATTGAAGAATCTTTTCCTCAGCCATACCGGAATATGCATTCATTGCATTTTGCAATGCTATACTTATATCTGGAACCACTTCAGGATCAGAATTAAGATTTTCTAAATCAACAAACAAACTTCGAGCATCTTCTTTTTCATCAGTTTTATTCGGTTTACCTTCAATTGTGTCTAAAGATTTAAAATCTTTTCTTTCATATGTATTATTTTTCTTTTCGTGTAAAATGTTATTGTTATTTGTATTTTTTGTTTTCCTATTTCGGGATAAATTCCCTTTTTGGCTAATTATAGTGTCTTTAATATTTCTTTCTTCGGTATCAAAATATTCGTCGTTATTGTCATCGTCATAGTAAAAGTACCCCTCATTATTGATTTTGAGCGGAAAATGATTTCGCCTTTGACCGAAATGGTCTGTATCGTAGTCATCTGCATAATCGCCATAAAAGTTGTCATTTAAATTCATATCATTCGTGTTGACGTTTGAATTTGGAGAATTGGAATTTCCAAGTAAAACCGTATCTCTAATATATCCAAGTTGATCACTAGCTAACTGAACCCCAGGCATAAAAGTTGACATAAATGCCTGAGCACTTTGATAGTCCTGGTTTTGTCGTCTTATCATACTTTGAATAACATCTTGTTGTGCGGACAATAAAGATCCTATAATGCTGTTGCTTCCTTCTATAATTGAGTTTAAAACGCTGCCGACAGTTCCAATAAACTGTCTTGGTTGACGAACATTATTTAAAATCGTTTTATTACTGTGTGAAATTTCCTTTTCCACAGATTTATGATCTGCTTTTATTCTATTCGTTGTAGTAGACAGTGTGAAATGAAAATGTAAAAGCAGAATAACTGTTAACAAAAATTTCTTCATTATCACCATAAAATATTATTGTTAACTTTCTTTTTAATTATTTCATTGAACATAATATTACCCTTTTACTTAGCTCGGTGAATATTAGAAGTATAATGATGATCGCCCAATAAATTTCAATGGTTTTTATAGGAAGTAGTTTAATTAATGCACCAATAAAACACTGTTTACAATTTTACAAAAACTAAGAAACTATAGTTCCTTTTCAACATTAATTACCGTTTTTTATTAATTCACATTTATGTTTCAACATAATCGAGCTGTTGTTCAAATATTTAAAATAGTCTTTATAGTCAAAAATTTATGTATATAATTACAAATTGCTAACAAACTTCCTTTTAATATTGAAAACAAGACTTGTGTATCTTTTATCTAATACTTTTACGACAATAGATCAAAAAGAATTTCATTTGTCAAATATTTATACAAAACACTTAAAAGGTTTTTTGTCCTCTACACGATTAGTCTATTATTTTCATAAAATAAGTATACGTTAGGTATATTAAAATTATTTTATCCTCTAAGAACATTAAAATGACCCATTTAAGTATTTAGGCTGTTTTATTGAAATAAGAAAACAAATTAAAACGAATTTAATATCGACAATACTAATGTCTCGTATCCCACAAACTCATAAAAACTTAATTGCGTAGTTCAATTTTAAAGTATTGTTCTTTTTGTTTTTAAAACATTGTTTAACAATTACACATGAAGTGCACACAACCAAAGTACCCTCACTATCAATTCCAATTTTTTTTTGTTTAATTGTCTTTTTTATCAAAATTATAATGAAATAGTACACAAATCTTATATTTGCAAGGAGTCTGTTATGATATTCATATGCAATCATAATCTAAAATAATTCATTTATATTTGCATACTATATTCTGCTCTTAAGTTATAATGAGAACTCATATTTGATTTTATATTGCAAAATAAAAAAATTGTAGTGCCAATTAGAACTGCCTGAATTTTTGATCTGTTGAATTTTTACGTTCTACAAAAAAGAAATTTTAAAATTATTCAAAAAATTTTCGGAAAGAATTTTATTATGTAATTTAAGTATTAATTTCCACTGACATTGTTTTTTTATAAACTGGAACTGAGTATTTTATTTATAATTTTTCAATTCAAATCTTCATTTTATAATACAAACATTTCAAAACTCAGTAGAAATTTATATTTGAAAATTACATGCATATGTGATTATATTCAAGTTTTATAAGTATTATGGGCAATAATGAAAAGAGAAAGGCTGCCAGGCAGTTCAAAAAGGAAAGTGTAGGAATGCAAAACAAGACTTTCAAAGTTCTAGAATAAAAATGAAATACAATTGTATCCGAATATTTCAGATTTTTCTATATTCCAATTGCAAGGAAAATATCTTTAACGACAAAAATATTTATTAAATTTACTGACTTTCACACCACCAAGAAATCATTCTGGAATTCTAAAATTTTGTTGCGAAAATATTATTACTGAGTCAAGAAATTTTATAATAACCTAAAAACTTTTTAAGTATTTCCTCTAACTGTATTGCTTCTCTTATTGTCTTATTATTTCAATTATGGATGGATGATTAAGGATTTTATTTCTTTTTACAAGTATAAATTTCTATGCTGTGTCAACATTTTTCAAAGTTACCACTTTTAAAAAGTTTTTTCTTATAACAGAATTTCATTTCGAAGATTAAACAGACAATGAGATTAGTGTAAATGATAAGTGCGTGAAAAGAAGTAAAACCTTTTTTTAGCACTTTTCCAAATAATTTTTGAAAAAAAGTACTTATTAGTTTCACTCTGTCCATCCGTCCGTCTGTCCATGTGTCTGTTTACAAAACTTCTACACCCTTGAAGATAGAAAGCTGAAATTTTATATGTACATAGATCTTTACTAGAAACCCTTTTCCGTAGAACAAAATTTTCATCCAAAAAACGGAATTTTTTAACTATTTATTGCAGTGAAGCCATAAACATTTTTCAAATTTTGCAAAAGCAAAAAAATAGTGGCTGTCTTCTTTTATCGCGGCATGCCGTTTTCGAACTTTAAAACAACAAAATGGCCGTTAAAATGCACCGTTATCTAAAACTAGTTTTTTTTCAAATTTTGCTCTTAGATATTCACAAATAGTTTATTTCATTAAAAGAAAATTTTTTTTCATCTCCATCTCCTCTCAAGTTATCACCTCTCGAAATTTGTAAAATTTGAATATTTGGCACCTTATATTTGCGAAACCACAAGTTTTTTCAAATTTCTATAAATGCAAAAAGCTAACGGTAAATCCCGTGTCATTAAAAAATATAATTATTTTTTTTTAACTCACACAATTAACCCTTAAAATCGAGCATTATTTGAACCCTTTTTAATTTATTTTTGCTTTATTACAAAAACTGCATAAATCGTTCATCCTAAATGTATGCAGTCCTAGAAATAGTTTCGTGCATGAATGAAAATAATTTTAACAGTGTGGTAGGTATAAATAGAGTTTTGTATTTAAAAGAAGTATTTTCATTTGTTGCAGGGAAAAGTGCTACAATACAAACCATTGGTTTGACTCAACTTTATTTATGAAGGTTTCCTATAAGCGGACTATCCTGTAAACCAACTGAAAAAAAATAGAAAGTGTATATTTAATTTATTTCATACAATTATTCCCAAATTCAAAGGCAATTTGTCATCAAGAATAAATATGGGACAATATATTCCAATTAATGTAAATATTTTGTCAAAACCTTAAAAATATTGTGTTGTCGCTTATAATATATTACAAAAAAATTTTTCATGTAGTTTTTTGCCCATAATCGTAGCTTTAATTATTCGAAAAACTTTAAATGCAATTCACTATAAACTCCTTATATTCGCTGAGAAATGATCTCAGTGGAAATATTATTTTCATTTGTAAATTACGAATAAAATTTTACACTCGTCGAGTTTTTTTATTAAAAAAGTGATAAGCATGACCAATTGAATTTTTATTCTGAAAAATGTATGGCTGAAATGTTTCAATTTAGTACAAATAGAAATTCATAATACTCGTATGCTCTATAATATATAGCTGTTGAAATACAAATATAAGCTTGGAAAAAGTTCGTTTATTCTTTTTTTTATTGCAAAAAAATTTATAAATTTGCAAAAAATTTTATCTGTACTATAATTACATAGATAAATAAATACTAATATACGTATAAAGCTAGGTGCATTAAATTTAATAGTCATGTGTCGAATTATAGCTCTCATATATCCTGGAATTTCTAGAGGAATTGCTTAGGAGACTCACATATGTCCTAGAGGTTCTAGAGAAATTGCTTAACAGATTTAGGTAGCTGCAATGTAATTTTAAAAAATATTTTTAAAATTTTAAAAGCTTATTAAGGTAGATGCAAGAGGTATTACAAATTGTGAATTGTAACTAATATTTAAAAATACTTTTATCTCCCAGGTATGTACATACATACATGTGCAAAAGTTTGGATTATGATAAATTTTTGGGTAGTATTTCGCATAAATTATAAGTTTCAATAAAAGTAGAAGTAACATAAAATCATAAAGTAGAAGTAAGTTAACATCCAAAATTCTTTTCACTAAAGTAAAAAAATAAGACTACCTTTTATTTAAACGAAAATTTATGTTATAAACGACATGTACATTACGTTATCTACATTATTAACAGTATTTTAAAGTTTTTTCACCTTCTGAAAACTTTACGAAAATTTTGCATAACAAAAAAAACTATATAATGAGAAGAATGTTCTCGTATACATAAATAGATACACGGTGACCAGAGTTCCAAAACATTGTTGCTAAAAATTGCTTATCAATTAACTTTTTAGTTTCTATACTTTTTCTTTTAAAATAATAAAAGCATGATTTAAATATTTGCTAAAATTTGAATAGTTTTAATATTATAGCAAAAAAAAACAATATAACAAAATGGAATTCGAAATAAAATTGAAATACATTAAATAAATTGTAATCAATCCTACAGTAGTATCGTAAAAATTTTGAAATATTACGATACAAAAATAAACCTGTGTTCATTAACGACCCTATTTTAATAAGCTGTTATTCAACCTGATTTACAACTACATGCGAGTATATATGACAAAAAAGAATAAATTTATTTAAAAAGATATTTATATTAAAAATTTATATTAGAATCTTATATAGAAGAAAAAAAACTTTTTTTTTTATTTTTTTAATGGCTAATACATAGCTATATAAAGTTTTTTGTTAAAATTTATAAAAATCTAGTTAAATTTTTATACAATGCTCGTTTAAAAATATTTGACTCTGTCATTTAAAAATATTCTCGTATTTTTATACAATGAAATATTTTTATACAATGCTCGTTTAAAAATATTCTTGTTTGAAAACGAAGTATTTCAAGGAATACCGAAACCCTATAGTGTAATCTCCTTTTAGAGTCACTCTTTTAGCCACATTTGAATCAGAGTTTTCATTTTCCCATTTTTTTCTCAAAATATAAGTAAACATTTTAAAATATTGAATGAAAGTTCCACCTTCAAAAACAAAGTGACTACAGATATTGACTGCATTTTATACATTTTTGGAAAAAACGAGATACATACATAATACCAATAGATGGTACTCACTTAATTAACAATTTCAACAGGTACACAATCAGGCCAATAATATTTTTATTAATAAAGCAACTTTAGATTATAAAATATTTATAAGCATTTTCGTAAGCATTTTCATTTTATTTTTCTTATTTATAACTAAATATTATATTATAAATACATTAAAGCTCAAACACTCAAAATTTTGCGATTTATTTAAAAATATACCAAATGCACACAATTAAAATTCTCAAATTAAATTAAAAATTTTTATTTGAACGATTTTCATATTCGTTAAAATGGTAATATTTTATTTTTAAATGGTAAAATTTATATTTTTACGAAGCATTTCAAATTTTTTAAAGAAAGAATTAATTAACATATTTATTTTTACATAAAAATTAAAAAGTTTTGTTAAAAAATAAAAACTCAGAGTGGGCAACTGAGTTACTTATGTATTACTCTGAGCTACTAATATAGATTGTATTGAATACTGAAGAGAGATGTGGGCAAAGGAACTCTTCCTCTCCGACCACGGCAGCCAGCCATGACTTATTGTACCACTACAATATCCCACTTACATTACCCGGGTCCAAAATAAATACGTGGAGATATCGCTAAGGCAGTAGGACGTGATTTCCCAACAGTGAAAAAGCCCCGCCCACACGTGGGTCTCATGACGGCCAGAGTGAGACAGTGCAGAGAATATACATGGCCGTCTCCTCGTCGTTATGACAGAATCTACAGAAAAGGCACTCCGATTGCACAGTTTTTGCAGGCGATAATTCACCGTGCAAAGCCCAGTGAGGAAAGCAGTAATAGCAGAACCAAATTTCGATCCACCCCCAGCAGCTCTGAAAAGAATTTCGATGGATAGAACAGCTTCGCATGATGACTTCATTCGGTAGCCTTCTAGCGAAGACATGATTCCACATCAAGCAGAACGCCAAGTCTACCTCTAATGGCAGATATTCACAGCCGACTGAAGGGGACGGGCTTGTGTATTACGTATTCTTTATTCTAAACACATTATGTTATAACAACAGCAAATATGAAAAAATACCGGCTCCCAATCCATACATCTTATCGCATATAACTGTTACAAACTGCTTCAACAGCAAATTTTAATTTAACTCTGGCTCTACAAAAGAAATTGAATAAAAAAACTGTTGTCACTTTCTTAACTGGAATAAGAATCACAAATGGAATGGGAAATTAAGAAGCGTTTTAATAATTCGGAGTTTACGACTGGTACAAATACAAACGCATTAGTATTTAAAAACTTTAATATAATTTTCAAAACACTTTATAAAGTTTATAAAAAGCGTTAAATTGTTGATTCTAGCCTTAGTATTACTATTAAAATTAGCTATGGTAACATTTTATATTATTTTATTTGCATTAATTGCGAGTTTCACTACCGGGTACGACAATAACACTTGGTCAGATTATAATGAACTACTTTATAACGCAAAGAATTTGGAATTCAAGCTAAATTTTAAAAGATCATTTGACGTAGATGCCGCAAATTATATTGATGAGTTATTATCAAATAAATCATTTATTGACATTAAGATAGTAGGGGGTAAAGCAGCGAACATAAAAAACCACCCCCATCAGGTTTCTGTTCAAGAGAACGGCTTTGGACATTTTTGCGGAGGATCCTTAATTACACGCAAGTAATAATATCTCAAGATAAAATATACGTTTATATGAGTGTGTTCAGTAGAACCTCTTTATACATTAACGAACTCTTGTTTACTTCTTTACAATTTAACGAACATCTCAGATGAAATAAATATTGTTGTAAATAATTTTACAAAAAAGATTTACTTCATTTAACTCTTAATGAATTTTGAATCTATGTAATATAGAAAGTTACAAAACAAAAAAGCATGCCACCGAGGTGTTACTACTTTGAGATACTATTACAGAAATGTTCGTTTTAATATACATATAGAGATTCTACTGCATATACACAATTTCAATTATACATTTAAATCGTACCTCAAATTACATAAAAGAAATAGAGTATAGTATTTTTCATTATTTATATATTGGTATAATAAAAATACATTATTGTGTCTAATACAATTCTATTGCCATTCCAAGAACATCTCTATAAATAATATTAAAATTTTTAAACATAAATGTAAATAATTTTTTATTTGTAAAACGAATAATTGCAAAATGATTACAGTTTTGTATATAGATACTTAGTTTAAAAATTAATAATTCAATTAAAAATAGATAAATTACTTACGTAAAATTTTAGATGGGTATTAACTGCTGCGCATTGCTTTTACGGCTCCAAAACTCCAATTTCTAAATATTTTATTAGAGCTGGTTCAACTTTTCATAATAAAGGTGGTGTAATTGGTTTTCCGTTGAAAATATATATTGCTAAAAAATATAATCCCAGAACTAATGACTGGGATATAAGCCTCATTAAATTAAAAAATCGATTCTCAAAGAAATTGACATCACAATACCCCATTCAACGCATAACCCTTAGGAAAACTTTACCACCCTCAAAAACGTATTTAACCGTTACAGGATGGGGAGCGATGCGCGCCGGAGCTGTTATGTTACCAACGCAATTGAGGAAAACTAGAGTTCCTTTAATTAGCTTTCAATATTGCAATAGAAAAACAAATAATGCTGGAATGATAACAAAAAGGCAATTTTGTGCAGGTTTCAAACAAGGTGGCAAAGATTCATGTCAAGGTGATTCTGGCGGACCTATTACAATACGTAATAGACTAGTAGGAATAGTTTCCTGGGGTCTTGGTTGTGGTAGGCTTCTGAATCATAATTATCACTATATTTTATGTTAATAACTTTTTTCTACATTCATAGCCTTTAGAAATTCACCTGGAGTATACACCAAATTACCAGCATTTTTAAAATATATAAAAAAACTTGTGAGAAATGGGTAAAAAAATGCACATATACTTACATTTCAAAACTTTCAAACAACACAAAAAATAATTGGCTCCATTCCGTCTCACTAAGAAAATTTAAAAGAATGTAAAGAATGTTTGAACAACTGTTAAATACAAACTTTTTGAAAACAAAAAAAACTTGTAATAGAAAAACTTAGAAAACGTTGAACTTTCCAACAAAAGAATAAAATGTGAGTAGCATGTCATTCATGCTAGCCACATAATTAATAAACATTATGAAGCATAAATTTTCTGAAAAAGGTACACAAAAAAAAATTTGTTTTTATGCAAACTTAAACAGAAATCGTATTTTAATATTAGGTTTAGAAATGTATAAAAACTTCCCAATACAAAAAAACAAAGTTAGTTTAAGAATTTTATTCAATTTAGCAACGTTACGTTAAATAAAAATGAAGAATACTTTCTTTTTTATGCTTTTTTACCTAATTTCTATATCAAAACAAAAAAATCTAGAAAATAATATTAAACCAAAAAGTAGTATTTTAAGACCTAAACAACGTCAAATTTTAAAACCTATTAACGAAGTGTTGTACAAAAATTTAACACACAACAAGAAAATTCAAGAACATGATACTGTAGAAATTCAAGGAAAAAGAAAAACAAAATTTCTTAGTCAGACTCATTACAAAATACCTAAATTGGAACTTGTAGAAAAACTAGACGTTGTTAAAAATCTCACAACAACGGATAAAGAAAATCCTGAAAAAAAATTAAATAATGTTCGCATAAAGAGAAATAATTCTAATTCAGACAATAGAAAAATTCAAATCAAAAATAAAAATAATGAATTCTATAGAATAAATCCATGGACAAGCCCCCGTAGATCAATATCAAAAAAAATGTTAAAAAGTGATTTCAAAGAAGATTTCAAAAATTTCAGATATCGGAAACTAAATCTAAAAAGCACAAAAAATTTAAATTTAAAAATAAAAACAAATGATTTGCAAAACAATAATAACACATTAAATTCAACATTTCATAATAATAAGCAAGATAAAACAACAAGAAAACTATATAATCGGGAATATATTAAAAATTTTAATCAACATAAAGCTAGAGAAACAGAGATTACAAAGAATATATCCCGAGGCATGCTGTTGTTATTGAGTGAAAAAGGTTCTATGGAAAAATCAAACAAAGTGGTATCAGATTCTTACAGCAGAGCATCAACCCAAATATTCAACATTTTAAAAAAATCGCCCGAAAAATTTTATTCAAATATTAGTTCAACTGTAGATGATTTGTTCAAAGACACTGCTAAAGTCTTCCGCGATTTATTAAAGACAATTGATAAATTTTTTATTCAACCAAACTCTAAATTTCATACTGAATTTGAATCAAGTAAATTATTGCTGATTGAAATTACTCATTGCATAATGACTGATTTGTTCTTAGAGTTAAAAATAATTCATCAGAATAATATGACCGACACAAAACAGACGAACACACTGCAAAATGGAGAAAAATTGTTGATTGATATTATGAAGAAACTATATAAAATGACATTTTTCCGTACTAGAAGTGTGTTAAAATCCATTTTGAATTCAAATTATCCAAATACAGATTTAAAAAAATTATTAGCTACAAAAATTTTAATTTTAACAGTGAACAATTTGCAGTCATTTATCAAAGCTCAGAATGATATATCTAAAGTTTTGTTAGATATCAAAAAATTTGAAAAATTTTCTGGTGAATCCACGCAGAATGTGGATATAAAAAAATTTCGCAAAAATTTAAAAAAAGATATTTCAAAAATTTTGAAATGGTAAATACTCAGATATTAGAGTATTCAAAAATTGCTCAATATTTAATAAAATATTACGTTAATCCATAATGAAATTAGAACTACTTTGTACAATATCCTTCTTTATTTACATGCATAGATACGTATGTATATACTTAAAAAAGCAAAATTTCAAATTTAAACAATTGATGTCTCTAAAGAATATTAATTATGTACTGAATATTTTATATAATACGTATATGTATAGCAATGAAAAATAATTTTTACTGGAATAGCTTTGTTATGTTCATTCAGTCTTCGGTACCTTCTAAATTCAAACAATTAACCAAAAAGTGATCCATATTGCGATACAGATGTAGTCTTAGCCTTTGAATACTGTGATTCTCATCAGGGTACATCTATTTTATGATTATTATAGCAATGTATTAAAAATTTTAAAATAAAAAATATTAAATTTTTATACCATCTCTTCAAAAAATATGTTATTTCTTTGTAAGATTTTGGAAAGCTGCAAGCTTTGTTGGAAATGAACATTATCATCTGCAACACCGTGCATTAAAAGAAAATCGTGGTTTTTAAAATTAGAAATTGATCTTGAATCTTCCATCAACAAATCACCGTTTCTGTAACCTCTTAAATTATCATGCCATTCTGGAAGCCCCATATAACGTTCGGTATAAATAGTATCTATTGAAAATTTAAAATCAATCAAATGTATTCAACAAAATATCAATAAAATTTTGATAAAATAACCAAATAAAATTAGTACCATAATAAGTCCAAGAAGTTACTGGAGCAACTGATACCCCGCACTGAAAAATCCTTTGATCATCAGTTGCCAGGACCTTAGCCGTAACATAACCACCATAACTCCAACCCCAAATTGCTGTTCGATCTTTATCTATAAAACCATATTCTCTTTGCAAAAAGTCTGTGACAGCAATTTGATCTTCTATTTCAACTGTCCCCAAGTTATTATTTATAATATATAAAATATCTTTTCCTTTGTTTCCAGTTCCCCGACCTTCAATTTCGGCATATATTACATTTCTAGCAGTTACAAGGTAAGAATCCCAACCTACTCCGAATTCACTTTTAATTTTTGCTGAATTTGGTCCACTATAAACATACACAATTAAAGGATATTTCTTGTTTTTATTTGGATTTTCCCAATTTAATTCAGGAGGTAAGTAAAGTTTAATAATAGCCTTTAAGCCTCCTTCTACAGTTACATTCAAATATCTTATTTTTGGCATTAATTTTTTTGACAAAATGTTTTTCCGAAATTCTTCATTTGTTTCCCACACTTTAATTACCTCCATAGTATCAGTGCTATAAATTCGTGAAATGGTTGGATTCGGTCCGTTACACGAAACCGCTACATGACTCAAATCATGACTAAACGAAGCTGTAGCTGCTGTGCAATTTTCCCCTTCAGAATCTAAAATCGCACATGAAATGCATTGTTCATTTTTATAAATATGTTGTTGGGCTGGACTTCCTTCTAAGGTGCCTTGATAGAACCTACATTAAAGAGCAAAAAATTTTAATAACATTTTTTGTTAATTCTTAGTTATCACCAATCATATCCTTTTTGACCAAAAACTTTCGTAACAGTAAAATTTCCAAATGATTTGTTATTTATATTTTTTCCTGTCTCCAGATCCAATTGCCAAATTTGCATCCAATTCTCAATCCAGTCAATTAAATTACATGTATTTTTTGCATTTGTGTTACAATTAATACTGTTTGTCATTAGCCAACCTTTAGGTTCAGAAATTTCTCTAACATTTCTACAACTTTTGGAGTTAGTATCACATTCCACAATTACTCCTCTATTTTGTCTTCGATTTTCCCACAAAGCAACTACTTTATCATTTGAGGACCAACTAACAGATTGAAGAATATGATCTTGAGTGACAATACTTGTGGGAGCTCCTAATTTTGTCAATGAAACTTCTTCTTTACCAATATTTTGTAAGTTAACTACATATAAAGTAACATTTGGGTTTGGTGTTCCAGGTTTTGGGTATCTTATATCGATTTCTTCAGGATATTGCGAATCCAAGTCAGAAGGCTCTCCATAAATGAAATATTTAAATAATTTCACATCATTGTCTACAAATTGTGCAAAAGCCATTTTTTCTCCATCAGGAGACCACCATATAGCTGAAGCTGCGCTGAAAACTTCTTCTTCATATACCCAATCAGGTACCCCATTGTAAATTTCACCAATTTTACCATCAGTAGTAATTTGATATGTGTTTCCGTTAGAGAATTTGTAAAGAAAAATATTATTGCCCAAAACATAAACTATTTTATCACTAAAAGCTCCAAATTTACAATGTTGTATCATTTCACCTTCGGCTATACTATAAGTTGTACTACAAAATAAAAAAAATAAATCAATGCTGTATCACATGATTATTATTTATCAGCGTAGACTTTTTCTTGAATAGCTCACCCTGTTTCGATTTCATAAACATCATACTTGGCAGTTGACGAATGCCGGAAAATAGTTTTTTTATCATAAGCAATAAGGAATTTCTTATTATCACTTGATAATGAAAACTCGGCATTTTTGTATTTTTTCTTAAAAATTAAAAAAAAAAATCTATTAAATACTAAATAAAGAATAAACATCTACTATGAACTTACAAACGCTTCTCCAGAAACAAAGTTCGAAGTCAAATTTGTTTTTGCATTAAAAAGTAAATACTCTCTTCCTTCAAAGACCTTTTTTGGAAAAATTAGTTCGCTATCTAAAATAAAATAAAAGTAATATTTTGTAAATTTATGATAGTAGCAGTTAACAAAACATTTATTTAAATGTATTTACAGAAAAATTTTTAGTTACAATTTCTATTTGTCATATATTATAATGATTTATTTTAGTAAATATCTTTTATTTTTTCCTAGTCTATTCCTAGGCTAATAACTTTTTCGTATGACTAGTTCTATTTCCATATTTCTGTATTATGTATATGCACATATGTACTCGTACATTAATTGTTATAAAAGAACTTTTTTTTAAATTTTATGGAACATTCAATATGTATGTAAATGATTTTTTTTAAGTGTGAATTTAATATTATAGGTAATCATGCAATGAAGAGTGGAAAAAACCTAATCTGTGTCGATAGATATTTATATACCCTTTATCTATTAATTAAAATTTATTGAAAATAAAAATTGTAATCAATTAGAATTATATATAGATACCGCGCTAAAAACGTACAGATATGTAATGGAGATAAACATACTTTTATTTTACTTACATTACATATGTATGTATATGTAGATAAATGTGCTGAAAGATTCATAAATCCACAAACGTAGATTTTCTTGTTGATATTATAAAAATGTTAAAATTAAATAATTTAATTTAAAATTTTTTTGTACCCAAATGAACAAATTTCAAAAAGTAGCAACAAATAAAAATCTAATTGATAGTGGGTATGTAACAGCACATTTTGTTCTAAAAAATTGTATTGGGAGGTTCAATTTCATAAATTAACAGCATTACATACAACATTAATAATAAAACATATGTATAACCTATATGTATATAAGTATATATGTTATGTACAATGTACCTATATTTTTTTTATTAATGAATATACATATGTATGTACATATTTCAAAAAAGTATGTGAACATTGCATGTATTAACTATAGTTTTACCAGAAATCCAAGTTCCATCAAATTTTTTTATTGAAATCGGAGCATTTAAAGCTTCTTCAATTTCCCATGGTAACTTCGATTTTTCATTGTTTATTGGATTTAAGTGCACATCATCTATGAACTTTAGAATAAATACCAGGAAAATTGCGATAATCTGCAAAAATTAAAAAAAAATTTATTTTAGTAAGTAAGCACTAGAGAAGCGAAATTTTATACCTTCATTATCAATAAAAATGTAAATTAAAAAAGAATTTAAATTAATTCTATAAAAGACTAAATTATAGTTTTATTTTTAATAAAAACACAGAAAAGCACAACAATTATAATTTTTATATCTCGAATAAAATATCTAACAAATTAATTTATTGAGTTCGTTTTCTACTTATATCTGCATCAAGCAGTTTTAATTAATAAAAACAATAAAAAAATAAGTTTTAAGTAAAATACCAACAATCTCGGGCGAAAGTAGAATGAAAACTGAACAAAATGAAGAGAATCTTCTTTTACCAACCTAGTTCTATTTATATTCAATAAACGATAAAATCTAAGTTCGTATATGTATACATAAAGTAAAGTACAAAAAGGTAGAAAAAGATAAGTACAAAGATTTGAATAGTTCACAAAAGGAAATTGCAGAAAAAAAAATTTATTATTTACTTCTAAGTTCTCTTGCAAGCTCTCATATATGGAAATGCTCATTAAAGTCAACCCACAGTAATGTAACAAAAAGTAAAAATATCATTAATAAAAGAAATAAAGTTTGTTAAAAAAATTAACTGTTACAATTAAAACGAAAATTAGCTCAAAATGCAAAAAATATATGTACATAATTTCTAAGAGTATTTTAAGATCGGGAAGAAATCGTCAGTTATTATTAATTTTATATAGAGTACTTACAGAAATTTAGTCTTAGTCAATAAAGGGAAACTATTAAAAAATGTTCACCAAAAAAAATGTGAAATCAGTACATATGTACATAGGTAAAGATACAACTTATTACGAAATTATTTTATTTATTAGGCCTTGATCACTGCTTCAACACATCTAAATTGGATTGAAATTTTTATATAGTACAATTGGATCAAACCAAAGACTTGAAGGGAAGCCCTTTCCTCTAAACAAGTGAAAATACTGTTTAAAAACAATGGAAGAGGGTAAGAGTAAAAAAAAAATCTTCTAAGAAAGCGAATTATTTATAAGTGTGTACCAGCTCCTTTTGTTGAAATGGGGTTTTTGTTTAAAATTTTTTATACATATTCTCAGACTTAGATATATACATATATGTATGTATAAAATATGAACATAAGAGTATTTTTTTTCTTAAATTAAAATTCCGGTGAAAATATTTAGTAACAATGAAAAATGTGTACGACTATTGTACTTTTCCAAAAGTATCGTTTAATATGGCAAAGAATTGTACATAATAATATGAGAGTATACAACAAATCAACAATTAAACTTACAGAAGCTATTGTAAACAACTGTGCAAATTGAATATAAAATTAATTTTCTTTAGCAATACGATGATTAGTATATAATCGCAGTATTTTGAGGTTCATCTAAAAAACAAAGTTTTTTATTTCTTTAGTATACAAACGTTCCCATGTTCAAACACAAATATACATATATGTATATATGCCGGTAAATATTCCAGTTCATCTTCAATTCGTACTTTTAAGGCAAGAACTGACATAAAAGCAAAAAGGTAGGTATTTATTACAGAAAAAAAGTATATGTCTATATTATACACTTACGTAAGAGTAGTTATTATAAAGCAATAATAATGATAATAAAAAAACAAAACAGACAAAAAAGGTTTATGGACTTTTAAATTTCAATAACGGAATAGTATCTGCCTATATATCATACAATATTTCCATCGTTTTTTATAATGAATCTTATCCGATTCGACCTCTGAGCCCAAAAATAGTATTAAAATTGTAGTAAATTTTAGTACTAAATTTTTGAAATTAATAATTATAAATATTTGAAATTTTAAATGATCTTGAAAATTGCAACAATTTATTACGTTAAGTTGATGACGGAAAAGTTGGGTTTACTATTAGTCTCATTGAGCTTTTAAGCTCGTATAGAGTATGCACCATTATATAATATATGTACATCAATATTATTTACAAATATTATAAAGCACAAGTTATATTGTCAACTCTGTTTTTATTATATGTTAAAGAAATATAAATAATTTCAAGGATGATTCTTTGACCAATTTTGATGCATGAAAAAAGCATTTTTCGCATGTTTTGAAATACATTTAACACGTTTTACTCGAAAAACTATGAGATATAGAGGAAAATGTTAAATCGTTTAACTTTTGCTCTTATCGCGCTACCATCTTTGTTTTTCTTTGTTTTTAACGACCTTCTGCATATTATCAAAAGTTATATCTTAATAAACTGCAACAATATCTTCACAAATTATGAGATATGACTTATCATTCATTTTAGAGAAATTATCGATATAATAACCAGCCATGGTATCATGATGATATATAAAAGGTTTATTGTTTGTGTAATAGGTTGTTGTTTATTTGTAGATGCACAATATGTGCATATAAATATTTTTAAGCCATAACTAACAGAACTGAAAATAAACTCAGACAAATATATTATACAATTAAGAAAAATATACGTGTATATACATATATAATATCGATAACATTAAGCATATTGTTTTTATAAGAAATGAGTTACACGTATGGGCACCTATAATATTCCCCCCTATTACGTTATTTTACTTAACGTAGTTTTATTTTTCATACCATTTCCCTACTTAAGAAATTTTTCAAGAATTATTTTCGGAAGAATCAATGACTAGTGATGATCTAATAATTATTTTCACAAGAAAGCGAACAGCATGTTCTTGAAGAAGAAAATCAAATTATTGAACAAGTTCATAGAATTCATGTTAAAAAGCTAAGAGAGCCTTTAAGTCGTATTACTTCAGCTAATGTTTGGAAATGTGTCAAGGAGTATAAGAACATTTACGGAAACAATTAAATTTCTGTACGGCGATCTATGGATAATTGTTTTTTATACATAATATACATAATATATTTATTTATGAACATCCATACGACCTTTTGCTAGTCAAACTTATTTTATATAATAAGACACATTCTTTACATGGTAAAATGCTACTTCTTTTATGTAATTTAGGGTTTTCAAAAGTCTTTCAACGTACATAATTTCATTTTATGTAGAAAATTTTCGGTTGCAATACAATTCCATGCAATCTTACATAAAGGAATCTATGAAAATCTATTTATTTATGAGTGTTTTATGCATACGAATTACGGATGGACGTCTTATTCCTTTAATTAAACTTCACGCAGTATAGTATGGAAAATTTAGTATTAATTGATTCTAGAATATAAAAATATTAGTTTCAACTTAACAAACAGTTAAAAGACATAGAAATAACTTTTAATTAAATATATTGTAGTTATACAAATAGTAAACAGAAAAGCGTTTCGCTTGCTTAATAACATTGTCAGCGTAATTATTCTTTTTCACTGCCGATTACTTATGAAAAAGATTTTAATTGGAATTTCAAAATTAGATGAATATATGTGTATTTTCACTATAACTCAATTTTTTTATAATATTTATTTTATATTTGAAGCATTATAAGTATATATTGCGTACTTCTATTTTTTTAACTTTCTTATGACCTTGGTGTTTAAATGAATTACGATCGCAAATATTCACTCTAAATATTTAACAATTTTGTAAATCATTTATCTATTTTTTTTTAAATTTTATGAATCTTTTTTAGTTATAAAAAAATAACCTTGCGCAAGCTTTTGAGAAGTAAACGCTATGCCCCAGCCTAAGTAAAACAATAGTTTGGAAAGTAGTTTTCATAACTTTACGTAGGGCAGTGTATCTATCAGACACAGTACTAAAACTATCTTAAGCAAGGATCGATTTATTGTGAGCAATGTTTCCGCCAATAGGAAACATATAATTTTATTTACCTACAATTTTATTTACCTTTATGTACCTACAAAGAAACGTACCGAAATTTTACTCTTCATTTCAAAATAAGTAAAAGATTTAACAAATCGAAACAAAAAAACAAACCCAAAATTTATTTTTTCTTTCAAAACTTCTTTTCGCTTTTCTTATTTGCCTATTGTATTTCTTGAGTGAGCTTTTATACCCTTTCCGCGAACCCGACGCTTTGGCCTTATTGAAGAGCTTTATGGTCCTTATTCTAAGCCTTGGAAACTTCTCATTTCACCACGGGAAGTTCCTATTGCTCTGCCTCGGCTTGGTGGAACAGCTCCTATTATAAAAACTAGAAAAAGTATAAAAGTCGGCCTGTTGCCCTCATTCATAATCGTTACTCATTTCTATATATAAATACCTTTTTTGTAGGCAAACCTTTTTTGTTTATATCACTGCTTCCGCAGACGGTGTGGTAGGCATTGCCATCTCTTCTTTTTATCAGCTGGAAATTTCTCCTTCCACAGTCAGCCCAGATGGAGCAATAATCTGGAAGGGGAATATATGTTAGTCATTTATTAAACAAGTCGCAGGTCTAGGCCCACCAACAATTGTATCATCATACAATAGATCACCTGTTAGAAACAACCTGATTCTTCACTACGTAAGACTTTTGGGTAAGGGCGATGTTGGGGTGATCCTTCATAAATCTACATCCCTAGATGTTCTGGCATACTGGAAATTTATTTGGATACACCTGACAGCCATATCGTTTTTTGAGGCTTTTAACCCTTGGAGCTGTTTCAGGTTCCTTAATGATTTTTACACTTAAATGATTTTCTCCCTTTCACCCTGACGGCTACTAGGGAGAAATTAAGAAAAGGACGGAACTCTGGTTTCCGTTAATTCGCCAGGAGTGTTATTCTTTGACTTTACCCTTTTCTAGGGACAGCTGGTGGTAACAACCGTTTCGCAAGCCCTCAGCTCTTCGAGACTTTTCCTTACGTATCTGCGGACTTCTTCTGAAGACATGCCACCCTCATGTTTTTTCCCCTTATCACCATTTCCGATCATTCCGTTGCCGGCCACTTCCTTGTTGGCCTTGTTGATTTTGATTTGCTTGTTGTCTTTGTTGCCGATGCGTTTTTTTTTTTCAGTGCTATTGTTGTTTTTTGTTTTTGAAAAATCGAGTATCACTTATTATATCAATGTATTATATTATTATTATTTCAGTTTTTCTCTTTCATTCTTTATTTGGCAACTTGCTTGAGGTTTAGTTAAAATGTTTCATAAAGGTCTTGAAGTTTTCCTCTTCGCAGATGATATTTCATTTAAAAATGTGCGAATGCCATATATAACACAACTATTTTGGCTCATTCACCTCATTGTTCTTCAATATTGTTTCTTTGGGGTGAAAAAAAATAAGATCTTCTGCAAATTCTATAAAATAAAGCAATGCGCATTATTTCAAGGAACGTGAAGGTTCAGCTGAAACCCAAATGGCAATAAGAGACCTAAAAAGAAAAAAAAACAATAACAAATGACAAAGTATATGGGTTGTTTTAAAATATAAATATTTATGAGATATACATACCTACTTATCTGGCTGTTTTGAGCTTTTACATCTCGAATAATTACATGGTATCTAAAATAAAAAACTTAATTAAAAAAAATTTAAATACAATAAATGAAATGTAAACAAAAAGTGAACAACAAAAAAATATCACAAAATGCAATAAAACAAATTTTTGTACACTACAATTGGTAATCACTTTTCACCTAATATTTTTAACTACACTTTTTCACCTAATATTTTTAATTACTTTCACTGGTGAACAAGAATTCTAATAAACTCTTTATCATTTTTATAACACCTTTAATTCAAATTAGAAAACAAAATTATTCTTATCTTTGATGATCAATTCCAATCCGATGGCAGCAAATATCTTTGTTTTGATTTGTTTTAACTACGTTATCTGCCACCAGTGCTACTATATGGCCAGATTTGTCTAATTTTCCAGATTTCTCAAAGGTCTAACAAATGACTAGATTTTTTACCCGTAATGCCAAATTTTTTTAACTTTGCCAGATTTTTCTCTTGGTAAAAATTTGATAAACCCCTTTAAATTTCTTGTTTTTGTGAGTTATTATTACTCAAACGGTAATCCAGTAAATAAGATTTAATTTTGAAAAGGTATGTACAGCACTTATGTATATTTTTATTGGACTTTTATATGCTAATACAGTTCTAATGTAAAATTTGTAACTGCATCAATCACGGTGCATTTTTTTTCCAATACCGTATATAAAGTTAATTTTTCGTTACTTTTTCAAAGTCGTCGAAGGTGTAATGAAGTGCATTTAAAATCAAAATACGTAAAGCTTAATTTAAACAAATTACTTTATACGTTTACACCAAAATGATTGTGAATTTATACATATTTTATTAATAAACAAAGATAATAACTTAATAACAAAAAATTAAAAGGTGGAAATCTGTGAGTGCCTGTTCTGATCCACAATATGCGTTTTGCAACGAATATGAATTTTTGGTATTACGATTAGCGAATTCTAAATTTTAGGCGAGTGGGGTGCGTAATCTGTCGAATTCTGTGTGACACGCTTGGCGAATGAAACCAAAAATCAAAATAATACATAAGCGTTTTTTTTTTTTTGATATTATAATTATTTGAACGTTTATAGTGATATAAGGGAAAAATCTAAACTATCTGTAAAGCAAGTTCATAAAATTCTGAAAATTATTGTAAAAAAAATTGATTGTTTAATATTAACTTAAGCATGAGAAAAACGAACCAAAGCAATTCGAGCATTTAATTAAGGACCATTATTATGATCGGCGAAGCGAATGAAATTTTTGGCGAATGTGAATTTTTAGTATTATGTTTAGCGAATTCGCCTAAATTTTGGCGAATGACCTGTCAAATCTGTCGAATAAAAATTATGTGTTTGACATGTTTGGCGAATGAGAAATCAAATTAATACAGAAGTGTTTTTTTTTTTTATTGGGTATTATAGTATTTATAGCGTAATAATGGATGATTCTGCAAAGTATTGTAAAAAACACTGGTTGCTTAATATTAATTTAAGCGTGAAAAAAACAAACCAAAACAATTCGAGCATTTAAATAAATTAATGGACAACAACCCCGTAATTGCTAAAGGGATAGGAAAATTTTATTGTTTTGCAAGAGAGAAAAAACAATGTACATATGTATGTGTGGTGTTAACCTTACTTTTTCGGTAGGTTTTCTTGACATCAGTTCAGAAGTAGATTTTTTTTAATTGCCCATGTAACAATTTCAAGAATAAGACTACCCTAAAAATTTGACCAAAAATCTCATAAAACTCTCTTACCACACTCGAATACTCTCATAACTTTTTTTCTTTTTTTTGCTTTTATAAGGTTCCTACAATAAAGACTTAGCACTTGTAGTGTTAAGAATTCTGCTACTCTCATAGCAGAAGTAAGTCTACATAGTTGTTAGGCACGGCCTTTGTAGTATTGGCATTTTGCCTTATCTAAATTTTAACCCTAATGAGACTAAGACTCCTTTTTTTGGAAAGAAGTACGAAAAATATTTATTGTACCAAAAATTATTAAATTAAAATTAATGAAATGCAAAATTATAGTTTTATTTGAATATAATAAAGCTTTAGTGGGAATTTATGCACATTAGTATATTTATTTATTATTTTTTGCAATTCTTAAATTTTAAAATTTATGTAAAAAAAAAAGAAAAAAAATATTAAAGGATTAAACAATACGTATAAAAATTTTTTAAATTTTAATTATTTTTAGTTGACGTTATTTTTCGAAGTACAATATCAACTTTTATCAATAAAATTTTAATGCCAGCAACTTTTTGATATCATGACAAAAAAATTATTTTTTCCACATTTATAATTTTATAATATAAAATTTTTGAATACAAATATTTATTGATTACATATCGTATACATACGTAAACATTATCATATTTTTTTTCATTTTTGTTAAAATAATAATTATTAAAAGCGGAATAGATATATTTTTTATAAAGTTCGAAGTAAGACCGATATATTTATCCTACAATGTATTGCTTTCTCTTTCTAGTAACACTATTATAAAAGGCTTGTGAGAGTTTTCGTAACTCTCATACTAGTTTTGGTATGAGAGTTATGTGCTTTCAAAACTCTTTTAATGGGAGCTTAAATCTCATTACAAGAATTAATAATTTTGTTCTTATAAAGATTTCACTAGGGTGTTTTAGTGTTCTACAAGACTGAAATTATAAGAGTAATAATCTTTAAGAATACTCAAAATATAAATTGTTACTTGGGTGATTTATTCCGTTTTTTTGGATTTGTCTGTTTAATAACATAAAAAAAAAATATTTTTTCTTTTTACCTTATAAATTATTAGTTTGCATCGACAACTTGGGTCGGTACCTAGGAGTAGAATTGTCTTTGTGCCTTTCATTGTCTTTGTGCCTTTTTGGCATTCGTGCGGAGGTGGTTTCGATCGTTACGAAAATGGCAGCTAGAAATTATGCGACGTCTAGGTCAGCTGTTCTGGAAGAGCACTTTGAGCTTTTGCTGCTGCTACGGAATTCGCCCGAGGGTTGTCTTGTTAGGGAATTTGAGTTCAGGAACGGTTTTAGGTGCCAGCATTCGAAGATGCGGGCTGACTCAAAAAGCTATTTGGGATTCGCTGCCGTACGAGCAGGATATTCTGCCTTTTTTTTATCAGAATGTAAGGGGTCTTCGCAAAAAAACTAGAAATGCGTTTTGGCTTTCGCAGTCTTTTTCACATGATGTCATGGTGCTTTCTGAAACATGCCTTAATAGTGAGTTTTTTAGCGAGGAGCTTTTTTCATCTGATTTTCAGATGCTTTTGACAGATAGACTTGAACGCATAGATTCTCTTGGCGGTGAGATCGATATTCCTGTTTGGGCTTCTGCCTTTTAATCCATCTAGCGATGTGTTTGAATCTGCATGTTTACTTGTATATTATCTGTATGTTTACTTGTATATTTTTGTCTATTACTGTACCCCTAGTTTGGATGCTGGTCGTGGGTTTTTATTTATATGTCTTTTCTTTGCGTTCTTCTGTGCCTGTGGCACCGCATAAGATACATGTGTCTTCGCCCTGAGTTGCAGCATCTTAGAAACGTTAGGAGCTCAGCTTGGGGAACTTTTATAGTCGTCGGCGGATTATGCTAGATTTTACTCGGCGTGTGATAGTTTTAAGTCTTTGTGTAATGCGAAGAGATTTTTTCATTTTACTACTTCTAAAAATGGGTCTGATGGTTATCCATCCTCACGCCAATTTTCTCTAGTGATCTAGAAAGACGGACTAGATAGATCTTCTAGTGATCCTTTGGTTATCACTAATTTGTCCGCCTTCCTCCGGGTGGTGCTGTTGATGGTTTGCCCTCGAACTTTGCTGCTTCTTCAAATTTTAATAGCTTTTGAGGCGAGGGACCCGCTGGTAATTTTGATTTTAATGGTACTGTCTCTGGAGACTGATTGTATTCTGCGGGTCATTGAGCGGCTGGATGGTAACTGGTCTCGTGTTCATGATGGAATTCTAGGAGTAGCGTCGTTTAGGCGCGCTGGTACCCTTCTTTACCCTCTTACTTCTTTATTTAACTTCGTTTCGTTGGGGTTGTTCCACTTCATAAAAAGGGTATACATTTTTTAGTAACTATAGGCCTGTTGTTAAGATATCGGCTATTCCGAAGGTTTTGAGGGCAATCTAGTCAATTATTTCTATTCTTATTGTGGTCCTTTTATTCATTCCTGCTAGCATGGTTTTCAAAAGGGTGAGTTTGCGGTTACCAATTTCGTTGGGCTTGTCTCAGTTACTACTAGTATTATGGAAGGGACTGGTCAGGTTGATCTTATTTTTAATCTTTATCTTAGACCTTAGCAAGGCTTTTCATAATATTTCGCATTATGTTATTCTGAGAAATTTGGCTTGTGTAGTCTTTTCTCTTTGTAGCTTGATGTGGGTCTATTCCTATTTAACATGTAAGTTGTATAAAGTTTCATTCCTTTCTGCTCTGTCTGATGTTTATCCTGCCGTGTCAGACGTTCTGCAGGATAGTCATTTGGGCCCCATACTTTTTTGGTCGCGATTAACGACGCTTTTACCTCTGTTCTGGGATCCACGCTTTATAGTTTTGCCGATGATTCCAAGATTGTGAAGATGGTTTGGTCGGAGATCGATTGTTTGGCGTTCCAAAGAGATTTAGATAGTAGTCATGAGCATTATCGTTTATTTCAGTGATTCGTTCTATTAATGTCTTTATATCTAACAAGTCCCAATACTCAATTTTTTTTACGAAATGTTACGAATTTTTGGCCTCGTTGTTGGTTTTTTCTTTAAATGCCACTGATCGAGATTAATATTTTAAAAAATCTCAGGATATTATACACATTTTTTAAAAAGCTTCCCATTTAAATTCTATTGCACGAAAAAGAAAGAAAGGTAGGAGAAAAGAAAAAATGAAAAAAAAATTCAAATTCATATTTCAGTATGGTTTCAAATGTTAATGAGGAAGGATGTATGATTTTTTATGCACATTTTGTATTTCCCAATAAGGTAAGTTGAGTAGTGTCGGCTAACAAAAATGTTATTAAAAGTAATATAGGTTGACACATTTCAACAATTTGAATTATCTCATTTCGATTATTCATACGTTACTTATAAAATTGTTTCAAATAATTTCAGTTAGTTTTTAAATTATTAAAAATAAATATGTATGTACCTACTTCCAATAAATTTTTTTTTAAATAATTATTTTAAAACTATTTCAAACATGTTATATTGAGTGCTTCAAAAATTTTGCTGTGCTCTTTTTTCATATTTTATTAGCAGGTAAACAAGAGCAATCTATTTATAAAATGTTCCTGCATGTGTATGTATGACCTATCTTAATTCTAAACGGAAAGAATTTTAAAATACCTGAACAAAAATTTTAAAATACCTGTTATTTTACAGTCGGAATTTTCGAGTCATTTGGTAAAATACCATTTATTTCAAAAATAGAAAAATATTCAAATCCGGTCATAAAAATATATGATTGTTTTTTCCAAACATTTTAAATATTTTTTTTCTTAGGTAATTGATATAAATGATAGTAAGTTTTTAATATTTTTTCAAATAAAAATAGAGGTAAAATTTTGAAGTTTATATAAAATTTGTATTTAACAAATAATATTTGATTGTATTTTAGATATTATTTTCTAATTCCCTCTTCAAATTTTTTCTTTACTATGTATTTATATCAATATTTAAGAATTATCTTTCATTAATTATATTTTCAACTTGACACCACAGGTACTTCCCATATCTTGCGTTAACTTACCCTATGAGAAAAAAAAGCTGTTCACTTAAAAATAATGAAATGCTTTCAGTAACATATAAAACGTTGAAGGCGAAGGTTGTGTTTGTTGTTTTTCCGCTTTTTTTTAAATTTTAAAATAATTATCAATGAAAATATTAATATATTTTTTTGATTTTTCAAATATATGTTCTAAATTTTACCTGCTTTATAATAAGTGTGAATTTATTTTAATATTTCTTCTCAAAAAATAGCCACTTCGATTTAAAAAAGGCCATATAAAATAAGGTGTGCTTTCAAGTTTCTCTCTGAGCATTGGGACTTGTTAGATATAAAGACATTAGTTCTATTATTAGATTATAAACTCTCGTTCAATCGCTCATTTCGTTCACTTCTCACCTGTATATTCTCTTCTCTACATTTTCTCTTATTTAATATTTCGTTCAATTTTATTTCTATTGTGTAATATTAATACAGAAAGAAATAAGGAAAAATATAAAATGCATATCAATTTACCTATTGTAAATAAAATATGTATGTATATGCAAGAATTTTTTTAATAACTTAAAATGAGAATTGGAACTCTTAGTGAACGATAAACGATTCATTTTTGAAAAAGTGAACTAATCAGCTAAAATCAGTGAAGTGATTCGTTCTTTAGATAGAATGAATCACTTCACTGAACGGATAGTTTTGCGGAGTGGTGTCGAGCGGATGGCTTGGAATTTATTGTTGGTAAGTGTCGCGTCTTAAGTGTCGTTTTTCGCCGAGAAAGGAATTTTGTGTTATCCGGCATTATTATTGCCTTAACGAGGCGATATTGGAGAGGGTGAGCGCTTTTTGTGATCTTGGGGTTATGCATAATCACAGGTTGGATTTTGATGGTCATTTGAATATGATTCTATAGGATGATAGGGCCAATTCGAAGTTGGATTTTGTAATGTGGTGAGCTAGAGAGTTTGTTGATCCGTATATTGCGAAGTATTTGTATGTGTTCTTTGTTAGGCCAATTGTGGGGTATGCTTCTCAGGTTTGGACTCGCTTTCATGTGGTAAATATTTCTCGTATTAAATTTGCTTTCATGTGGTGAATATTTCCGGTATTAAATCTGCTCCCGTGTGGTGAATATTTCTTGCAATAAATCTGTTATTTATTGCTCCTTTATTCTTTGAGCGGGTTTCTATTAAGGATAATGTAAGGAATATTAGATCTGTTGAATTGTTCAATTTTCGCTATACTGATTATGATTTATTATACTGATTATGCTACCATAAGCGTGCAGGTCGCTAGAATGTTGCGTTGCGTTAATTTTAATTCTTTGGTCCTGCTATTTTACTAATAGTGACTAGGGTACTCTTAGATCTAGAATTTTGTGTAATTTAATTTTATAGTAATATTTTTCTTGTCTGTCTTGGTCCTCTTTATTTATCTATTACAATACAATAAGATAGGTTATGAGATGGAAACAAATTTTGCATATCGAGTTTTCGGTGCGATTGTACTTCTCTATAGTAAGGAAGTATAAATAAACTGTTTTTAGTAACCTTTCGGTCTGTCTGTCTGTGTGTGCACGCGTGTATCTCAAGTTCGGTTGAATCGATTTAGATGAAATTTTATATGTAAGTTTATTTTGATATCGCATGGATTGATCAACTTTTGGGATTTATCAGAACTAGGCCTTCTAGCGGGCCTGTCTTACATTTTTAATAATTTAAAAAAAAATATTCAACAGATTTACTTAAAATTTCATATATAAGCTTCATTCGACCGTCCGCGAAACCTCCCGACTTTTGGAAGAAATCAGGCTTCAGCAACTGAACGTTTATATAAAGAGGAACATAAAGAGGGTATATAAAGAGAATAATCAACCGATTTAATTGAAATTCATCGAGATGTTAAAACAATGAATCTATATTTTTTGGAAAGATCAGGGCTCGGAAACTGATGTAGGGGCCGATTTTACAGTTTTTACCATATCTGCGGAACGAATTGATGGGATTTCTTGAGATAGTTTTAATATTTGAACTCTGGTAGTTACCATACGTATAATTCGGAATTCGAACTCTTCGTATAATTCGGATGGCACAAAATAAAAATCTACTAAGAGCCAAATTCACGATTCTTTAGGTATATTCACTAAAAACTTATTATATTCATTAAAATTGTAAAGAAGTGTTTAAAACGCATTTTCATAATCTTCTGAAATTCTTTTATTAATCTACGTAATATACATTGTTGCGTAGATTAGAAAAAGGTTTGTTATGTACATTAGATTTTTTTCTTTTTTAACGCTTCCTTCTGTTTCGTTCTTGATATTTTTTTACCTTGCCTGCCTAGTCTTTTTCTTGTTTTCCGTATTTTATTTTTTATTATTTTTAAGTTGTGTTCGTCATTTTATTTCACTTGCCTTTTTTCGTTTCCCTTTATTAAATGAGACGCAAGAAATGTCATCATTAAAATAATGTTAAAAAAAAACTTTCCTTTTGCCGTAAACTTTATGGGAATATAAACGTGGAAACTCATCTTTTTTTCAATTTTAAGCGGAAAATATTATTGTAAAGTTTAACTATGTACTACCAATATTTAAATACAGATGTCATAAAGAACTTTGATAACTTCAATTGTCGAGCTGAATTGAATATTCAATATGGAAGTATTTTTAATAATAAATATAGTATGACAGATTGACAATTAGAATTTTGTCTTGCGCGACAACTTCCAGTTTTATATATTAAACAATGCAAAAAATGAACATAATTAAAATCAGCTTTCAATATCGACTGTTTTTAAAAGAAATTTAAGTGGACCTTATACATATTCTTTTGTTCCAATGAAGTATATCATGATATATTCTTAATCATTGCAGTTTTAACTCTAACCTTCTCAAACATGTACGGTTATAGTCGAGAAGCTATACGAGTCAAAGTGAAGGTAAAATGAAACTTAAAAACTAATAAAATTAAAAAAAAAATTTATTATAGAAATGTGAAATGAACTGCCAACCCGAATGGAGAAAATTTAGTGTTGATCCTCAAATTACATCAGTAGAAATATTGCATAGTATTTTAGCTAAAGCATTTGATATAAGGTCTGATTTCTCGATTTTCTATAAAACTCTTGATCCATTAGGGCATGAAACATTCCTTGCTGTGATGTCTGATTGGGATTTAGATGCTGCATTTTTAAGAACTCACAATTATTCGGTTCAAACTGGTTCTGAGCCCTGTCTGAATTTGCGGGTTGACGTCAAATCATTTGAAGAATCCAATAATTCTGAAAGAAGCTCTTTTGAAGCATATAAATTGGAACATTCGTCTTTTCAACAGTCTATAGATGCTGGTCAAAAATATGTTCAGAATATGCAAAACAAACTTCCTGGTTTGATAATGAATCAAATGGAGAAAACTTTTTCGATGGTACAACGAGCTTTAAACTTTGCAGAAGAGCAAATTCCTGTGTATCCTCCCAGAGCACCATTATCAGACTCAGAATTTAGAAGTTTTTTAGATTCAGTAGGACAAATAATAAGGCCTCAAGACTTGCGGCATGTAGTGTTTTTAGGGGGGATAGATCCTAGCCTTCGAAAAGTGGTTTGGAAGCATATCCTAAACGTATATCCCAACGGCATGACAGGAAGAGAGAGAATGGATTACATCAAGCGAAAAGCGTCCGAATATTTGCAAATGCGGGAAGTGTGGAAATCTGCTGTCCAAAGTGGCTCACTCGATAATGAGCTAGCTTATGTAACAAGTATGGTAAAAAAGGACGTTTTAAGAACTGATCGTTTGCATCAGTTTTATGCTGGTAGTGATGATAATCAAAATATATCATCACTATTTAATATATTAACAACATTTGCTCTAAATCATCCAAAAGTAAGTTATTGTCAAGGAATGTCAGATTTAGCCTCACCCCTTTTGGTAACAATGAATGACGAAGCTCATGCATACATTTGCTTTTGCGCTATAATGGAACGTTTAAAAGCAAATTTTATGCTAGATGGTATAGCTATGACACTAAAATTTTCACATCTCACAGAAGCTTTACAATACTATGACATAGAATTTTATAATTATTTAAAACTTCAACAGGCAGACGATTTATTATTTTGTTACAGATGGTTGTTATTAGAACTTAAAAGAGAATTTCCATTTGAAGATTCATTGAGGATGCTAGAAGTTCAGTGGAGCTCACTGCGTAGTGATCCACCTGACAAGGAATTAAAATTATTTGATAAAGAGTATACTCCGCAAACAGAGGTAAAGCCATGCAAACATAATTCTTTGAATTCAATGGAAGTGCAAAGAAAACAAAGAGAAAATCATTATGCTAACATATGTGCTTTAAGACGTCAAACTTCAGCTAGTTCTTTATATTCTAATCATTCATTAAATCAGATCAATTTATATAATTTAAATGAAGATACAAATGGCACAAAATTAGATAATTTTAAAAGACTTAATCATAGCTTAGATGAAAACATTACAAGAATTCCCTTAAAGCATGCAAATCTTATGAAAGCACATCAAAGTTTAGATGAAACCAAAATGCTTCTTCTAATGAGAAACATTTCTCCAACTGAATACTCATCAGATACTTTCAATAATTTAGTTACTGCAAATGATAAAAAAACAATTAAAAATCAATCATGTGATATGAAAAACTATGAAAATAAAAAAGTTATATTCCATTCGACAAACCCTTTCATAAATGATGTGAAAGGGGGAAGTACAGAAATTTTAATATGCGATGATAAAATGGAGCAAGAAAAAGTGAATTTTATTCAACCTAATTTAGAATGCACCAACTTAAACAAAAATTTAAATCTTAATTATGCCGATGAGTCAAATAAAGGAAATTCATTTGGTAAACCGGATAGCATTTCAACATCGCAAATAATGACGAAACACAAAGGACATTTCAAAGAACTAAAAGAAAAAATTACGGCTTCAAAAAAAGGTATTTTTAATTATTTTTAAATTTTGAAAATTTTAAAACAATATTTCAACAGGTATATCAGCTTCAACTGACAAAATTGAAACACAGCTGGATTTGAAAAATGTGCCCATAAATCAAAACATTACCAAAGAAGAAGCATACCAGCAACATTGCGACAAATATAACACAGAAAAAAACCAAAAAGTAGTGAAAAATCTAAACGAATTTTTGAATTTCGCAAATAAAACGAAAACACCAAATAAACCTATTCAAAACTGTCCAAAGATTCATAATTCAAATTTAATTGAAGAAAAAAGTTCAAATTATATTAATATGACTAAGCAGGAATTGTCGGGTAACCTAGAAATTAATGAAATAGTAAAAAAGTCATTTTCAGAAGAACATTGTCTTTTAGTTTCTGAATTAGATCTAGAAGATAAGTTTCAAATTATAGAAAATAATGTAAATCAGATAAAAGATAAACAAGAATACGGATTACAAAGAAAGTCTTCAAACAGTGAAATAAAAATAAATGGAAAAATGCAAGATATTTATGACACGCTTCCAAAGGAGGACAAATTGGGAATTGAAAATGCAAAAAAGGATAACCAACGAACTGACTTTAATATAAACTACGAAAGATTAGATAAGAATATGAATCTTGAAAGGAATATAGACATAAAAGGAAACATAAACAAACGAAAAAATGCAAGTAGCGGCAATAATACCGACGTGTATGTTTGGGAGAATCCTTTACATCAAATTTCAAAAAATTCAATTTGCAGCTTAAGCGGAGTTGATATTAGTGAAAACGAATTTAAGCATAACATCAAATATTTAGGTAAATACATATTCCTTCATATTCGATGTACGATGGGGTATTATTCAAGGTATTTAGTTTTCCAGCATAAAATGTCTAATTTGAAAATTGATTTTATTCGGCAAGTTACAAATTTTTTGAATAAATCCCATCACCTGATTTAGTGAATGTAAAAACAAATTGTATGTGCAAAAATTTTCATAATTATTCCATTACAGAAAACAACAAAAATGAAGCCTGTCAAACGAATGTTAATAAATTAGTTCTTAAAGAAGCAGTTAATAAGCAGAAAATTCTTTCGTATAAATCCAACTCAGACATAAACGTAGAAAAAACAAAAATCGAATCGTTATCTTTGAACCCGTTTTTAAGTGATCAGCTTCATGAAAGTAAACTAAGCATCGCAAAAAATTTAAAAATTCAAGACTCTAATGGTATAAGCGAAATTTATAAAAAAAAAATCGAAGACGTTTTATGTACTAACGATGAAAAGAATGCAACTGATAAAATAGTTTTAAACAGTTTATCAAACAAAAATTTTAAAATTGCAGATTCTTATTCAAATATACTGTCTGATTTTGATTTAGAAGAGAATTCAGACCAATGTCCAGTAAAGGTGAATCAAAGAAGTAATTTTCTACCTCCTCCAAATGAATTCGGTGGGGGTAATCCATTTCTAATATTTCTGTGTTTAACCTTATTGCTACAACACCGCAACATCATAATGAGAAATAATTTAGACTATAACGAGATGGCAATGCATTTTGACAAGATGGTGAGAAAACATGACGTTAACAGAGTATTGAATCAAGCACGACGCATGTATTTTGAATATCTAAAGACATATAATGCCCTTGCAAACGCTGCAACTGCGACAGAATCTTTAAAAAAAAATTCTAACAACCTGGAAAAATCATAATAAAAATATTTACTTTTCAGATATCGGGTTTCTTTAATATTTTGAAATATACATAGATGTTCCACTATTTATTTGGCTAACGTATAAATGTTAACTTCGAAAATAATCAATTGGAACTACAACACTAAAATTCTCATTGTGTTAAAGTAACACTTTTGAAATTTTTAAATTGAATCAGCCGTAGAAATTTTATATGTTTAAAAAATTAATTAAAAAATGAAACGTACTTTATTATCACCTAAAATACAAAAATATTTGGGCTTGTTTAAAATCGGAAGGTGTCCTGTAATTGTATTTACATTCCAGTATATCAATATCAAAAATATGCATTAACAGATACGCGACATAATTATGTTACTCCTCTTTGCGTTATTATGTTTTTTTCTTATCGTGCAAAAACATTTTTTTAAATTTTGGACTAAGGGCATTTTTTTAAATTTTTGGATTTTTTATGTAGCCGCATTAAATAATTAGTTTATATTCTATATTTTATGTTTATTGTTCTTTTATACTATTTTAAATTTATTAGGATGCATGTATGATGCCATTTTTATGTACTATAATTTTAGTTTTTGTTATATATTATACTAATTGAAATAAACATATTTAATATGCAAGTGTATAGAAATCTTTCAAAATAAATTTTGTTTTTCGCTTTTATAAATATATTTAGAATTTAATAAACTTATTAAATTCTAAATATTTGATTAATCAGATATACCAATTACTTCATCTTCTGCGGGCGTTATTCCGTTATATTTATTCACTAATTTAGAAAGAGTAATGCCAACTTGCTCAAAGTCCATTGGCTCCTTTCCAACAGCGATAAGCATGTAGTTAATACATGCTTTCAAAAATGCAATTCTATGCATATGCTCTATCCCGGGATGAGTTGCATCTTTCTTGATATTTTTCATCTGGTTTAAAGCTAAAGATCCCTTCTTATCATTTTCAACTCCGCCACATGGTGTTAGTTTTGGCATTTTCTTTGTTTTTCGATCTGACGAAGTTCTGGACAAATCAGTTAATTTTGGATACGATTCAAACATTATTTCATCATTTTCATTTATAACTTTATGAACGGTTTTCCTTCGAGATGTAACACTATTTACCTTTCTACTACACATTGAATATTCTTGTGTTTTAGCATTTTTATTTTTTAAAAGTTTATTTTTACTTGTTTTTTTAGCATCGGTATCCAGCTCGATGAATTCTACTTCATCAGAGTCTTCAGAATCATTTTTTTTAGACATATTCTTTAAAATATTTAAAAGAGCACATAAATTGTATATTATGTACTTACTAAATACTAGAATGTATCTGCAAGTATCTGAATGTAATGTTTTTATGAATGATGGTAAATTTTAAACTAGTCTAAAATAAATCCAAATCCCTTTTAATAATTTATGTATTTATTTGTGTTAATTTGAAACAACAAGAGACCTACTACTTTACTTACTCAACAATTAACGCAGATTAATGAATAATAAAATAATACCAAAAGAAGAAGTATCTTGAACAAACAATGAAAAAAATTCTTTCTAGTTGTCTCTTTCTTTGTTCCAAGAACTGTCGGTTGTCAAAGTCGTAACAGGAGCATATTTATTTTTTTTTTGTTTAGCCTCTACCACGGCTGACAAAAAAGTAGGCCACAAGATTAATTTTTTTCAAATTTTTAATTAGAAAAAGTTAAGATTCAATCTTCTTCTACTTTACTAGTACTTACATTCCCAAAGTTTTTTGTTATTAAAACATTAAAAAATTGATTTTAAAAAAACTTTCCAGGTTCTGTTAATATTTTTAAGATTTCAATAAATGCTACACTACAAGAAAAAAAAATAGTGCAATTTGAGAAAATTTACATTTGATATTAACAAGTTTACTAATTATCGTTGATATGTCTCCCACAATGCATACTTCTTATATTTAAATATTTTTCATGTGTATACTGTATTAATTCAGTTTATGTGCTTAAATATAAAAATCATTGCATATATAAAGTCTTTGTATGCCTAAACGTTTGTATGTATGTATGTGATTTTGTCTTATTAGGAAATGTTTCCACATTGTTAGTAAGGCTAATTCACTTTATGATTTACCTACACAACCGCATAAGGAACTTATACAAGTTTCTTTATATTTTTATTATGTTTGCTTTTATATAAGGGACAACTTGAAACGTTGCATTTTTTATAATGATTATAAAATTTTAAAAGCAATATCATAATTATAAAACTTAAAATCAAATATTTACACATTATATTCTAACTTAAAATCTAAATGGGATAGAGTTTTCTTCAAAAATTTTTAAGTTTTCAGAGTAAAGTCAGATTTTTGAAATAAGTAGAATTTAAAAAAAAAATAAAGAAAATTTTACATTCTATACTGAAAACAACAAAACTTTTGAAGAATATCCTATCGCTTCTCGACATAACGTTTTATAGAAAGTGGGTGATAATCTTTGAATAATTTTTTGAAAATAAAAGCTTTTCTGAAAATAATTGCATTATTTTTTCTTGGAAACAATTAATATAAAAAAAATACTAATATATTGTTTAGCTCAGCTTAATTTCATATAGTTATTGCCAAAGTAAAATTTTACACTTTTTTTGCACCTTTTTAAATTTCCCAACGGGAACACTGGTAGTAGTAGTTCACGAATACTATTCAACTCGTTTAAATTTTAGTTGAATTGCAAGTTAGCACAAAAACGGCAGGAATAGGAATCTTCTGGCCTTTATTGTTTCTGAAATTTTGAATGCTATGGAGGAGGTAAAGGTTGACGAAGACAATTTCCAGACTCTGTATTCTACGAGTTCTAAAATAATATCAACAGAAGAAAGAGAACAACTAAAGAAACACGATTTGCGTTTAGTATCAGACGGAAATGCCAAAAAATTAGAAAAAGATGCTAAAAAATACTGGGATTTATTCTATAAAAGAAATGATACAAAATTTTTTAAGAATCGTCATTGGATTACAAGAGAGTTTAGTGAATTAATTCATTCTCACAAAAAGTTAATTATTTTGGAAGCAGGGTGTGGAGTGGGCAATTTAATGTATCCTTTGGTAGAGGAAAACTTTGATCATTTTTATTACGCATGTGATTTTTCAAAAAGAGCTATTGACCATGTTTTGAATAATCCATTATTTGATCCATTAAGGATTAATGCTTTTCAGTGCGATATTACTACATCAGAAATTTTTAATACAATAGAAAAAGAAAGCTTAGACATTGTCATATTGGTGTTTGTGTTGTCATCTATTCATCCTGAAAATTTTAAGAAGGTAATTTCAATTTTTCAATCCCTTTTAAAACCTGGAGGGCTTTTATTTTTTAGAGATTATGGTCTTTACGATATGACACAGCTGCGATTTAAACCAGGTCACAAAATAGCAGAAAATTTTTATGCAAGACAAGATGGAACTAGAAGTTATTATTTTTCGGAAGATGAAGTTTCTCAGCTTTTCCAAAAACATGGATTTCAAGTAATGGATAGAAGGTATGTGCATAGGAGAACAATAAATATTAAAGAAGGAATCGATGTCCCACGAATTTTCATACAAGGAAAATTTATGAAGATATAAAGAAAAAATCATTTCTTGATTTATAAAAAAACAAGTAAATGCAATCAAACTTAAAAAACATATGTATGTACTAATGTGTATTATTGATACATTATATTAATACATATTTAAATTGCTTTGAATAGATAGAATCTTTTTATTTTTACTAAACCACTTCAATTAAAATAAATTTAAAACAAATTGTATTTGACAATTTAACCATGGTATGAAAACATGTTTTATCATTAATTCGACTTGTCCAAAACCATCAGTTTTCGGTTGCTTGCCAACTCCACTCTTCAAAATATTTCATTTTTATTAAGAGATTGTTGCTGATAAGTTATGTAGACAAGAAAGAAAGAAAATATTGTAAATAAACAAGTATCAAAAATAGAACAATGAAGTTAAATTAAATTAAGCTCTAAATCTTAAACCATTAAAGATGCCCAATTTTATTTTTTGTGGCTATTATATCTATGTATTTAGTTATAACCAAAAATAATTTAAAGTTTAATGAAACAAAAAAAATTAAAATAACATCAAAAAAGTATTCATACAACAATATTATTATTCACATTATTGCAAAAAAAATTAGTAAACAATTGTTTTTAATGTTTTGTCGAGTTGACTTTTGCTGCTATTGGAAATCTCTTGAGATGTTATATTTGTCCTTTCCTCCAGGTAAGGTGATTGTGGAGGTGAGGGTAACTGTTTTGGCGAATTGAAAATTAGCCATTCTTTAACAATTTTCGCACTAAAAATCGTTATCCTGTTGAAACATGGATAACGGATATTAAGACCCAGTTTTTCGTCACTTGGCTTTATTTCTCAAAATATCCAAGTAGCCAGTTTTTTCCACAATGTTATCAATAAAAAGCAGGTTACCATTTCCAGCAGCACTCATATAGACCCATACCATCATATTACCGCCACCGTGTTTTATTTTTGGCAAAATTTTTTTATTGAAAGCAGTATTTGATTTTTTCCACTATTTTAAAGGACCATCATTTCCAAAAATACTATGCTTACTTTCATCGCTAAAAATTACGTCAACCCAAATTCCGATTTATTTATGTAAGTGTTGTTGAGAAAATTTGAAATGTTTTGTTTTATTGATGTTTGATATGAAAGGATTATGTCTAGGTGAACGTCCGTTAAAACCAGTATCATGTAAAATATTTCGAATTGTTTAAGGATTGCAGTTCAACTGTATTACATCTTCCACTTTTTGCTTAATAGAAAGAACTGAAATTTTTGGTTTTTTTTTCACCATGTTGACAATAAGTCGCTGTTCTCTCGAAGTAAATATTTTTGACCAACCACTCATTGGCTTATTAGTTATTATTCTATTTTCTTTATAATTTTTTATCACAAATTGGGCCGTGGCATGACTTATACTCTCACTGGCTTCAATTTCTCGAAAAGATTTTTGCTGCAAATGAAATTCTACACTTACATCACGCATGCCTGTTGAAATTTCTTTGACTCTGCCCATATGTAGGTAGTAGTAATTTATTTAAAATTATTACTATTTATAGTAGTAGTATTTTTTCAAAATTACTACTATTTATAGTACTTATTATTTAAACATACTGCTACTTATAGTAGTTATAATTTTACCTAAACAAAAATACACTAGTAGCACAATAAGTTTCGTTTTAACGCGGGGAAAATAATTCTCTATTTCGTACAAACATTTTTTAATTTGACATAAACTTTTTCGCATCCCAAAGAAACGATTGCTGAAATTTTTTATTAAAAAATCCCTTAAAAAATGTATTTTTTGGTGCTTGAAAATAAAACAGTCAAAGTTTACAAAAACTTTTTTAATTGAATGTACATATGTACATATATGATAATTTGCCTCTAATAGTCTCTGCAAATCATTTTCATCCTCTGCAAACAATACAGCATCACAGCATCATCTGCATAACATAGAATGTTTATGTTCTTGTCTCCAATGTGATATCCCCAGGGTGTGTGAGCTATATTTCTAATAATTTTATCCATTATAATATTAAAAAGTGTCGGGCTGAGACTGTCGCCTTGTCGAATACCAATAGGTGTTGTGTTATATTCGGTGAGTGTGTTATTCGATTTGATCTTTGCTGTATAGTTGGTATACAGATCTCGATCTGTAGATCTTGGCTTAGATCTACGAAGCAAATAAAAATAGGTCTGTTGAATTCGATAGATTTTTCAATGAGTTGCCTGACTATTAATATTGCTTCGATGGTTGATCTATTTCTCCAGGGTCCATTCTGTTCTTCAGCAATTTATGTCTGGGATAATAGGATATTATTTACTACTTTGTCAATAACTTTTGTACTGCACTTAATAATGTACTGTACGTTTTTGCATCATTTTTGTCACCTTTTTTAAAAATAGAGATTTTAATGCTGATTTTCCATTCTAATGGAATAGACTGACGTGATATTTTATAAGCTCGTTGACTATTCCATTAATTCCAGGTGATTTTCTATTTTTAAGTATTTGCACTGCTTCCTCTGTTGTGGCTATTGCTATATTAAATGGAAAAGCAGTGTAAAAAGTGTTTTGTATTCTACCATGTTGATGCTGTGTTTGATATAATTTTCTGAAGTGTTCTGACGTTTTTCTTTCGCAAGATATTTAACTTCATCAGAGAACCACGGTTGTCCTATAGGAAATGCGTTTACAATGACTTTTCTTACGCCAAGTGCTTCTTTGCCACTAAATCTATATTTTGTTTAATTTTATTCCAAACTTCATCAATTTTGTCGTTTTGATTCACCATGTTGTCTTGAATTTTATATTTTAAACTTTCTTGGTATAAATACTGAGTCGATGAATTCATAACCGATCCAACAATAATTTTTTTTTTGCGTGTGATGGAGGTTTGTTTTTGCAACAATTTCTTGTAAGGCGCATTTTACAAAGCACTAGATGGTGATCTGTTTCTAAATTAGCAGTTTTAAGGAACCTTACGTCTAGCATTTGTTGAGTCTTTATATTTCTGTTTGTGAGGACATCATCAACTGTTGAACGATCACCTCTGGTATTATTTTACGTATATCTTTGTACAGACGTCAATCAAAGCTTCACCATTTTCGTTTACAACTTCTTCGTTGAATCTTTGCTTTATACCGTTAATTAATCCACTATTTAGCTTCCGGTTGCCACCACGGGCGGGCACTTCAAGCACTTGATTAAGAATCCAACAGTTGCAATTCTGGGTTAGCAACCAGTCAGAGTCTACCCTATTGATCCTAACACTGATCACCGAAATTACAAACGAGGTATGGAAATAAAGAAATTTGAAAAGAAAAAGTGGATATATGTGTTTTAAATTTATAAAGACAAGATTAAATAAACGAACTTATTACATTCTTATTTAGAAATTCTTTTTTTTTAAATTATTTGTCTTTTTAAAATTTATTTTTACTATTTTTTTAAAATTATGGGTATATAAGTTATAACTATTTTTTTATTTAACACTCTATTTTGTTTTTACATTGCCTTTTTATATTGCATTGTTGCCACATTGCGCTGGAGTAAATTACAGAAATGGCTTTGTGCGCCTTTGAAACGATAAAGTTTTTTCTTTATACTTTATATATAATATGTACGGTTATATAAAAAAATACTTACGTAGACATCTATTGTGTATAATTTCCCTCTCCTAATAATTCGTATGCTTATAAAAATTAAAATAGGAAAGTACACTGCTTAAGTTAACTTACTTCTAGTAAAGGGATTTTTTTTTTTGAATAAGAATATTGGTAGGTGATTGCATTAGTGTGATGTAAATGAAGGGTCGAATTAATTGTGAAAAGATATACCTTGAATTCAATTTCTTAAGCTTAAATAATAAACATCGTTCCAAACTTTATCTGGGGCACGTCTAGAAATATTGTCGAGCACTTGACCAATTGTTTCGTGCTTTCCAAGCACTAGGTACATACCTCAGGTTAACTACTGCATTTTTCATTCATAGCCTTTCTCGGCAATTCTCTTAATGTGTCAGTAATAATGTGATAAAAATCTGGGGTCTCATTCAGTTTAAGCGACTTTGTCACTTGGCAAATTCCTTTTTGATTAAATAAAGGCATAGTGCTTTCATCCATATCAATATCTTCTATTAAACAAACACTAGAATTCAGTTCATTTCGTTGAAAAATTCCTTTCAAGTGATCAGGAAATAGTTCAGCTTTATCCCTGTTGCCTTTTGCCCATAATACATCTGGTTTTTTCAGAGGGGAGATTCGCTTTATTGGTTTCTTGGTAGCTTTCGTTGCTTTCTACAACGAATAATTCGTTTTTTTAGTTGCAAATAAGTCCCTTATATAATTTTCATATGATACTGATTTAAAATTCTCTATTTTTTTTGTGACTGTTTGAGAAAGTCTATTCATAAGCATTTTATCGTCTGGGTGATCCATAGCCTAAACGTGTTGCTTTTTTTTTGTGTATTAATACTATTAATTACTATTGTATTATATATTAATTACTATTAAATCAGTTGTATCCTAAGGATAATTACTTGATGGAGATTTGAATTCAAGGAATCTTGTATTTTACCAGGCGACTTTCTGTATCAATTTTATACTCTAAGCAGAGTGATCAGGATTTAAATTAAAATCATCTACCAAGCACGAAAAGTTTACTGAAATCCTTTTAGATATAAAAAAGTCAATAAGATCTGGGATTTTGTTGGCATATGTAGGCCAATAAGTCGGACTGCCAGTAGAAGATTGGCTTTCCTTTGTTCTCCATCTCTAGTTGAGGTCAATCTAGAGTCTCAATTCACATATTTGGCATTATAGTAACTTTCCAGTAATCTATTTCCCCCCGTGCATAGCAGATGCTTAAAAATATCCTTTCTTATGTTACACCTTGGTGGTTTGCGGGGGCGGTGATGAAACTGCTATGCACGTATTTTTCGACTGCTCGGTACTGGCTGTCCGGTGGCGCAATTGTTTTGGATAGGGTTTCTTAAGTGTTCGGGAGCTGCTGTCTAACTCTCTTAGATATATCTCTGATTTCATACTTGGAGCGCGGATATTGTAGGAGGGGCGTGGGGAGGCTACAATAAGTCGCGAATGGCTGCGGTGGCCCGGGGGATACTCCTGCCCACTCGCTTCCCTTGAAAAAATCTACAATCTA